GGATGATTACAGTAGAAGTGTTCTTATAGCACAGGCTACACACAGGAGCCCCCCCCCCCCTCCCCCACACACAAACACACCCCAGGGTTTCCGTTATGAAAATATGGCACCGGACAACGTGACCGGGAAGCTTTTAATATACCGGCCATTTGAAATGGTAGGATAAATTGTATGTTTTCCCAAACTTGAAACTCACACACCGCCTATTAGGTAATCGCCTCCACATTTCCATGGTCTGATTTTGCCTATAGGCTACTTTGAGACATGCCTTATAATATGAAATAAAACATTCAGGTTTCAAACAATTAAGTATGTTTTCAGAATGCATACGAAAATACACATAGGCCAATTTATTTCCACTAAATTATGCTAATTTACCTATAGACTGATAAGCATGACGGTCAAATGTATTTCCATCGACTGGTATTGCCATCAATGAATAAAAAGCATTATTTTGCAATGTTTATTTTTTCTCCCTGTCATTTTGGCCGGCTTTTCATATTTTTTTATCGGCCAAAAGCCGGCAATTGCCGGCTAATGGAAACCCTGACACACAACTTTGTCAGTCATCACTTCTTTTGAATGTTACAGCATGCAGCCACAGGGCAAAAGTCCTGAAAAACACCATCTCTTGTGTGTGTGTGTGTGTGTGTGAGATAACCAGCACTGTGTGATCTTTCGCGGTCAAACAGGAAATGCTGATAGGAGAATGCAGCCAAAGCAAACACACACACACACACCGTGCCCAAATTGCTATCTGGAGAGGGCCTGCACCTGCTCCCAAAATAATGTGATGTCATTCTCCTGAAAGAAAGCCACACGTGGTTCAGTTGGTAGTCAGTTACACACTGAAAGATACTAAAACTATCTTCAAAGGAAAACCGAGAAGTTGATTATATCCTAAGACAGTAAAGTCTTCACAGACAGTCTTCGTCAAAAAACGGTTTAAATAAGCCTATTGAACGGCACACAGGCAGCAGCACAGTTCAGACTAAATACTTTGACTAAATACAAGACTCCCAGTAAGAGTTACCTGTAACACCCTGGGCTTGATCTTGTTTTCACTTCTTTCTCTCAAAGAAGGCTGTTGTGTGTGTCTGGATGCATATGGCTTTATGCCAGTCTATATGGAGACTTTAAAATAACCCTATTAGTCTGAGACAAGAAACCCCCTCTTTGTCTCCTCCAGACAATTTACACTGTGCACCTGTATGTATGTAATGTATGCATACACACACACACACACACACACACACACACACACACACACACACACACACACACACACACACACACACACACAGGTAGGCAAAGTGAGACTGCAGCTGTAATGGCCTTGTTCTGTCTGTGTCCGTCTGTTTGTGTACTTGGCCATAAGTGATCTAATCTGCTCATGGTATAACTGTTTAATGAGGCCGCAAACATGGTTGGTGTACACATGGGGTGTACATTGTGTGAGAGAAAGTATGCGCCTTACAGTACTTCCTGTGGGTGTGTCCCCTCTTACCTTCTATGGTTTGACCCAAGACAGACATCAGACAGACATGAGTAACACTTCTCCTCTGCCTTTATATAATCCAATTCCACCTAGGAGAATGCAACATTTGAATAAGAAAAGTCACCTACTTATCCATAAATATATATGATATATTATACAATAAATCAACCCAGTAGTTTTACAAACCGGAAGATTTAACCTCAGCCCACTATTGAAACTCAGTTTTCCTCCTATAGTGTCTGAAATGTGCGTGTTTGATATCGGCTACAAAATCCCTGATCTACCAATCATCTTGCAGTACAAATAGCTAGCTACACATTATGTGAAGATTAGCAATTCTGAGCCTCCCCTGGCTCAAACTGATCCCCTCAAACATGCTGAAAATGTTGTGTAGGTTGTAGCAACTGTATGAGCAGGCTTTGTAAACTCTACTGCTCTAAGTGTTTTCCTGTGAGGTAGAGTGGCAGTAGTGGGTTAGGACTCCCCAGTGAGCAAAATTGTTTGAAATATGTATTTTCAACGTCTTTTCAACCAAAACGTTTCAACGTCTTGGCTTATAGACTCCTGACCACAGTGGTCTTTGCCTCTCAGCTTGAGGGGCGAGTCTCACCTAATCCCCCACCAGCCCCCAGCAGTATCAGGCTAAACTGCAAACATGGAGGCTAACATGTGACAGGAAGGTTACATGTGGAGGCAGCCAACAATCATTTTTGAGACTTTACAGTACAGCTTCATCCAAACAGTGGGTGTTGCAAATGGGTGGTTACGGTACATTGGCAGAATTGGTCAAGCCAGTAGGTCACCTGTCAGTGTTTTCCCGAGGACAGACAATGAGGAAATGAGGCTAGGAGAAGAGTATTGGGACCCAGCCTCTGAAAGAACGAGTGGGAATCAACAGCAGCTTTCTAGCTAATGATGCTAACTTGTATTAGGCAGAACGGGGCTTGACCGGGCTGCAGTACATTCACATATATGGAGGCTACACTAGCATTAGCCATAGCCTAGCGCTGAAGGTTCACTAGTATTAGCCGTAGCCTAGCGCTGAAGAGGTACTGACAGGCTAATTAGCAAGTCAGCGTCCGTTCTGCTCCCCCTGTCCCTGTCGACGCTGTTCAATAACACCCTTTACACCAGGGCCACTGCCGTGCGCTGTGCCACCTTAGAGGGTGTGAAATTGTGCTCTTTCTGTAGGGGCGGTCATGCTAACAGGCTAACACAAAGTGACAGCGTGGAACAGCCCTCAGGGTACTGGCTCCAACTGCACATTAGCATTCTGCTATTACTGAGCTAATTTAGGGATGGCTAATAGAGCACTGCTGTTACACACACACACACACACACACACACACACACACACAATGTATAGTAGAGTGAGTACAGGCCAGCCCAGTGTGCGGTACATTGAGTTTGTTTTCCTCTTCTGTCCCCCTACAGTGTCTAGTCCCAGTGGAGGAGACCGCTCTGTAGAGGTCACCGCTAAATCACAGTCCCACTCATTAATCATAGACACACACACACGCACGTATGTACAGACATGTAAACACACACGCATACACTCGCCCCCCCTGAGCGCTGTTCAGGATTTAGTCCATAAGCCCACCATATGGGCCTGCTGCTCTGAGACAGAGTTAGCTGTGAACACTATGTCTTTCTGTGTATGGCAGAATTTCTTATTTTTTCCCCCATCCCCCCTCCAGAGTCCTCCAGACCTCTCTTTTCTGGCTTCTGTCATGCTATCTGTCATCATCCCACTTTCCTTCACTACCTTTCTCTGTTTATTTTCTCCCTCTTTACCTTTTTCTCTCTTTCTCTTCTCTCCCTCCTGGTGTTTCAGGGGCCAGTTCAGTAAGAATAACACTGGGTTGGTTGGTTTGTTGCCTCCAGTGCAGGACTGCCCAGGGTTCCAGCTCATAAAGTGCAAATTGAAATCTGGCCTCCTGGAACTCTCCTTCTAAATTACCACCATGCTCATCTACAGCACTGGAGGGAGGGAGGGAGGGAGGGAGGGAGGGAGGGAGGGAGGGATAGAGGGAGGGATAGAGGGAGGGATAGAGGGAGGGATAGAGGGAGGGATAGAGGGAGGGATAGAGGGAGGGATAGAGGGAGGGAGAGAGGGAGAGAGAGAGGGAGGGAGAGAGGGAGAGAGAGAGAGAGAGAGAGAAAACTGAGTGAGTGAGTGTTTTAGCAGCAGGGGAGATCTACTCCCCCAGATTATCACAGATTGAAGTGTGTGCGTGCGTATGTGTGTTGGTGTGTACTGTAGATCGGGGTCACACGCCAGTGGTCCCGCGGATTAATGACTTTGCTCAAGCAAGAGTAAACTTTTTGTGTGAGAGGTTGGGAAAGTCAGCGACTAGGATATGAACAGGCCTAATCACCAACAGATTAGTCGGCTTCACTCTCTTTCTCTCTCCTGTTTCCCTCTTTTTTCCCCTTCTATCGCTCCCTGCTGATTAGTTTATAAAGGCATGACATGCCTGCTCGATGCCACTTTTAAAATGGGGAATTGGAAACCTGTAATTTCCATGATCAAAGGCGCATGTTGAGTATGAATGCTGTCTCATAACTAGTAATGATATGTCCATATACTCAGTACACATGTAACATGTGGAAATACACTTGTAGCAACTGTACACATGCCAACACACACCACCGCCACCCCCAACCCCTCAACCCCCCCACCCACCTCCCCACACCAGTTAAAAAGCCTCAGCACAGTGAGAGAGGCTCCCTTATCTTCTATACTCTCAGATGACCCGTTGTGCCGCAGGAGTTTGGTCTCACTCACTACCGTCCCGCACTTCCAACTGACTTCACTCGGCCCCATCTGTCTCCTAATGACCCATAATGGCCAACTCTTAAGACCCTTAATGGGGCACTGAATCTCCTCTGGCCCTCTAGGACTCCCAATTCCACTCATCTAATCAGATTAACTACCCTCTCCTCTCTGTGGCTCAGCTGTGTGTGTGTGTGTGGGGGGGGTTGTTGGGTGTTTGTGTGCATGCGTGTTTGTAATGATCAACTGAACAGATAACTGGACAGTGGTAAAGTTAGCTTAGATAAGAGGCATCACTCTGACTGTGACATTGACCTGAGGCAACTCCAAATCTTTTCATAACCCGATAGGTCACTGTCCTCTCCCCAATAGCCCACTGCTATTGGCCCACCTACTGTGATTTACAGATAGCAGAGCCATACATTATGGGCATTAGGATCTGTGGTGGGTGATGATTGACTATGTTTGGCTACAGTGAGTGTACTGTACTCCCTGACTCAGAGACCTAGGCAACAGAAAAGTGACCTGTGAGAAGCTCACACTGTGCAGCCCACTGTACAGGGGTTGGGTGTGGTTTTGGGTGTGGTGGGTGCAGGGAAGGGGAATGAGTAAAAACTGGAGCTTTTGTATGTATGTGTGCGTGCGTGTATTCGCACACTACATGTTTGTTTTATATGAACAACGATTCTAAATTAACCTAAATATATATCCTCCTCTTCTCCCCAGGCATTTGGGAACGCTAAGACCGCTCATAACAACAACTCCAGCCGCTTTGGCAAGTTCATCCAGGTCAACTACGAGGAGAGTGGTACCGTCCGGGGGTGAGACAGCTACACCTTCTTTATCCATCCTCACCTTCCTTCCTCGTTCGCTCTCTTTCTCTCCCTTGCTGTCTCTCTCTCTCTTTCTCGTTCTTGTTCTCTCTCTCCCTCTCTCCCTCTACCCTATGTCTCTGTTTCAATCTCTGTATGAAGGGAATCTTGACTAAAGTAAATCCTGTGCGTGTGTTCACAGAGCGTACGTGGAGAAGTACCTTCTAGAGAAGTCACGTCTGGTCTACCAGGAGCACAATGAAAGGTAAGGGGGAAATTATTTACTTATACAGTGAGGAGAAAAAAGTATTTGATCCCCTGCTGATTTTGTACGTTTGCCCACTGACAAAGAAATGATCAGTCTATAATTTTAATGGTAGGTTTATTTGAACAGTGAGAGACAGAATAAAAACAAAAAAATCCAGAAAAACGCATGTAAAAAATGCTATAAAATGATTTGCATTTTAATGAGGGAAATAAGTATTTGACCCCCTCTCAATCAGAAAGATTTCTGGCTCCCAGGTGTCTTTTATACAGGTAACGAGCTGAGATTAGGAGCACACTCTTAAAGGGAGTGCTCCTAATCTCAGCTTGTTACCTGTATAAAAGACACCTATCCACAGAAGCAATTAATCAATCAGATTCCAAACTCTCCACCATGGCCAAGACCAAAGAGCTCTCCAAGGATGTCAGGGACAAGATTGTAGACCTACATAAGGCTGGAATGGGCTACAAGACCATCGGCAAGCAGCTTGGTGAGAAGGTGACTACAGTTGGTGCGATTATTCGCAAATGGAAGAAACACAAAAGATCTGTCAATCTCCCTCGGCCTGGGGCTCCATGCAAGATCTCACCTCGTGGAGTTGCAATGATCATGAGAACGGTGAAGAATCAGCCCAGAACTACACGGGAGGATCTTGTCAATGATCTCAAGGCAGCTGGGACCATAGTCACCAAGAAAACAATTGGTAACACACTACGCCGTGAAGGACTGAAATCCTGCAGCGCCCGCAAGGACCCCCTGCTCAAGAAAGCACATATACAGGGCCCTCTGAAGTTTGCCAATGAACATCTGAATGATTCAGAGAAGAACTGGGTGAAAGTGTTGTGGTCAGATGAGACCAAAATCGAGCTCTTTGGCATCAACTTAACTCACCATGTTTGGAGGAGGAGGAATGCTGCCTATGACCCCAAGAACACCATCCCCACCGTCAAACATGGAGGTGGAAACATTATGCTTTGGGGGTGTTTTTCTGCTAACGGGATCGGACAACTTCACCGCATCAAAGGGACGATGGACGGTGCGCATGTACCGTCAAATCTTGGGTGAGAACCTCCTTCCCTCAGCCAGGGCATTGAAAATGGGTAGTGGATGGGTATTCCAGCATGACAATGACCCAAAACACACGGCCAAGGCAACAAAGGAGTGGCTCAAGAAGAAGCACATTAAGGTCCTGGAGTGGCCTAGCCAGTCTCCAGACCTTAATTCCATAGAAAATCTGTGGAGGGAGCTGAAGGCTCGAGTTGCCAAACGTCAGCCTCGAAACCTTAATGACTTGGAGAAGATCTGCAAAGAGGAGTGGGACAAAATCCCTCCTGAGATGTGTGCAAACCTGGTGGCCAACTACAAGAAACATCTGAGCTCTGTGATTGCCAACAAGGGTTTTGCCACCAAGTACTAAGTCATGTTTTGCAGAGGGGTCAAATACTTATTTCCCTCATTAAAATGCAAATCAATTGATAACATTTTTTACATGCATTTTTCTGGATTTTGTTGTTGTTATTCTGTCTCTCACTGTTCAAATAAACCTACCATTAAAATTATAGACTGATCATGTCTTTGTTAGTGGGCAAACGTACAAAATCAGCAGGGGATCAAATACTTTTTTCCCTCACTGTAGCGATAAATGAAACATAAATAAATAAATGTAAGTATATAATATTACATAACTTATATGGTTGCTTATCTAATATTGATTCAGTATCTTAAAGTCAGCTTTAATCAAAGTAATCAAATCCAAGTTTATTGGTTGTGTACACAGTTTAGAAGATGTTATAGTGGATGCAGAGAAAAGCTTTTTACTAGCTCCTAACAGTGCAGTAAAATGTCAAACGAGTACACAAATATCAACTAAAAACAAGACATCAAGAAATGTCGACTAATCCAATTAATAACCCTAATAACACTGTATCAGTAATCCAAATGCAATCTATGCGTATATACACCAACAAGATATACTAAGAATGATATGTACAGCAGTAGATATATTAGAGTGAATCCATTATCAAGAATCCAGTATATAAATACGCGGTGTGTATAAACAGTGTAACAATAATGCAATGTGCAGTAGTAGAGATTAGAATTAGCTATGTCGAGAATACAGTGTGTATGTGTACAGTTTAAGTCAGAAGTTTACATACACCTTAGCAAAATAAATTTAAACTCAGTTTTTCACAATTCCTGACATTTCATCCTAGTAAAAATTCCCTGTCTTAGGTCAGTTAGGATCACCACTTTATTTTAAGAATGTGAAATGTCAGAATAATAGTAGAGAAAATGATTTATTTCAGCTTCTATTTCTTTCATCACATTCCCAGTGGGTCAGAAGTTTACATACACTCAATTAGTATTTGGTAGCATTGCCTTTAAATTGTTTAACTTGGGTCAAACGTTTCTGGTAGCCTTCCACAAGCTTCCCACAATAAGTTGGGTGAATTTTGGCCCATTCCTCCTGACAGAGCTGGTGTAACTGAGTCAGGTTTGTAGGCCTCCTTGCTCGCACACGCTTTTTCAGTTCTGCCCACACATCTATCTATAGGATTGAGGTCAGGGCTTTGTGATGGCCACTGCAATACGTTGACTTTGTTGTCCTTAAGCCATTTTGCCACAACTTTGGAAGTACGCTTGGGGTCATTGTCCATTTGGAAGATCCATTTGCGACCAAGCTTGAACTTCCTGACTGATGTCTTGAGATACTGAAGCAACATATCCACATAATTTTCCTTCCTCATGATGACATCTATTTTGTGAAGTGCACCAGTTCATCCTGCAGCAAAGCACCCCCACAGCATGATGCTGCCACCCCCGTGATTCACGGTTGGGATGGTGTTCTTTGGCTTGCAAGCCTTCCCCTTTTTCCTCCAAACATAACGATGGTCATTATGGCCAAACAGTTCTATTTTTGTTTCATCAGACCAGAGGACATTCCTCCAAAAAGTACGATCTTTGTCCCCATGTGCAGTTGCAAACCATAGTCTGGCTTTTCTATGGCGGTTTTGGAGCAGTGGCTTCTTCCTTGCTGAGCGGCCTTTAAGGTTATGTCGATATAGGACACATTTTACTGTGGATATAGATACTTTTGTACCTGTTTCCTCCAGCATCTTCACAAGGTCGTTTGCTGTTGTTCTGGGATTGATTGGCACTTTTCGCACCAAAGTACGTTCATCTCTAGGAGACGGAACACGTTTCCTTCCTGAGCAGTATGACGGCTGCGTTGTCCCATGGTGTTTATACATGCATACTATTGTTTGTACAGATGAACATGGTACCTTCAGGCGTTTGGAAATTGCTCCCAAAGATGAACCAGACTTGTGGAGGTCTACCATTTTTTTCTGAGGTCTTGGCTGATTTATTTTCATTTTTCCATGATGTCAAGCAAATAGGCACTGAGTTTGAAGGTAGGTCTTGAAATACATCCACAGGTATAACTCCAATTGACTCAAATGATGTCAATTAGCCTATCAGAAGCTTCTAAAGCCATGACATCATTTTCTGGAATTTTCCAAGCTGTTTAAAGGCACAGTCAACATAGTGTATGTAAACTTCTGACCCACTGGAATTGTGATACAGTGAATTATAAGTGAAATAATCTGTCTGTAAACAATTGTTGTCATGCACAAAGTAGATGTCCTAACCGACTTGCCAAAACTATAGTTTATTAACAAGACATTTGTGGAGTGGTTGAAAAAAGAGTTTTAATGACTCCAACCTCAGTGTATGTAAACTTCTGACTTCAACTGTATGTGTATGTGTGTGTGTTTTTCTCTGTGTATATATATATATATACAGCTGTGGAAAAAATTAAGAGACTACTGCAACTTTTTCTTAAATCAGCGTCTCTACATGTATGACAGCCATTCCATTCCAGTGTCTGTTGAATTCCAACACAGGCACACCTCATTCTACTGAAGTAGGTACTGATTAGGTGATCACATGAACCAAATCTTATTTAACAAGGAAAAGTATAAAAACCATTGCTGTGGTCATCACTATCCTCTTGCAATAGGACCAGCTGGATGGCAAAAACTGTGCTAATAGTACCTCAAAAGTAATATTAATCAAAAAATAACTATTGACCATGGCAAAAGAGTAGAAAAGGAAAGTTTTGAGTTAGGAAAAGAAGAGTTCAATTCTGGCTTTACTGGCAGAGGGATACAGTGAGCATTGCTTCCATCCTTAAAATTTAAAAGACGGCGGTTCATAAGAACAAGGTAAAACGGCAGACATTGGGGACAAAAAAGCTACAGACCGGCAGAGGGCGAAAACGACTCTCTACTGACCGGGATGACCGCCAACTCATTCAAATGTCACTCAACAACCGTAGGAGGACATCAAGTGACCTACAAAAAGAATGGCAAACGGCACCTGGGGTGAAGTGCACGGCGAGGACGGTTCGAAACAGGCTCCTAGGGGCAGGGCTGAAGTCGTGCAAAGCTAGAAAAAGCCCTTCATCAATGAGAAGCAAAGAGCAGCCAGGCTGAGGTTTGCAAAAGACCATAAGGATTGGACCGTAGAGGACTGGTGTAAGGTCATCTTCTCTGATGAGTCCAATTTTCAGCTTTGCCCAACACCTGGTCATCTAATGGTTAGACGGAGATCTGGGAAGCCTACAAGCCACAGTGTCTCACACCCACTGTGACATTTGGTGGAGGATCTGTGATGATATGGGGGTGCTTCAGCAAGGCTGGAATCAAGACAGATTTGTCTTTGTGAAGGACGCATTAATCAAGCCACGTACAAGGTTGTCCTGGAAGAAAACTTGCTTCCTTTTGCTCTGACATTGTTCCCCAACTCGGAGGATTGGTTTTTCCAGCAGGACAATGCGCCATGCCACACAGCCAGGTCAATCAAGGTGTGGATGGAGGACCACCAGATCAAGACCCTGTCATGGCCAGCCCAATCTCCAGACCTGAACCCCATTGAAAACCTCTGGAATGTGATCAAGAGGAAGATGAATGGTCACAAGCCATCAAACAAAGCCGAGCTGCTTGAATTTTTGCGCCAGGAGTGGCATAAAGTCACCCAACATCAATGTGAAAGACTGGGGGAGAGCATGCCAAGACGCATGAAAGCTGTGATTGAAAATCAGGGTTATTCCACCAAATATTGATTTCTGAACTCTTCCTAAGTTAAAGCATTACTATTGTGTTGTTTAAAAATGAACATGGACTTGTTTTCTTTGCATTATTCGAGGTCTGACAACACTGCATCTTTTTTGTTATTTTGACCAGTTGTCATTTTCTGCAAATAAATGCTCTAAATGACAACATTTTTATTTGGAATTTGGGAGAAATGTTGTCAGTAGTTTATAGAATAAAACTAAAATGTTATTTTTACCCAAACACATACCTATAAATCGTAAAACCAGAGAAACTGATAATTCTGCAGTGGTCTCTCATTTTTTCCGCAGCTGTATATATATATATATGTGTGTGTGTGTGTGTGTGTGTGTGTGTGTGTGTGTGTGTGTGTGTGTGTGTGTGTGTATGTTTATATATATGTATATATGTATGTATATATATATGTATGTATATATGTGTGTGTATATATACAGTGAGGGAAAAAAGTATTTGATCCCCTGCTGATTTTGTACGTTTGCCCACTGACAAAGACATGATCAGTCTATAATCTTAATGGTAGGTTTATTTGAACAGTGAGAGACAGAATAACAACAAAAACATCCAGAAAAATGCATGTCAGAAATGTTAGAAATAGATTTGCATTTTAATGAGGGAAATAAGTATTTGACCCCTCTGCAAAACATGACTTAGTACTTGGTGGCAAAACCCTTGTTGGCAATCACAGAGGTCAGATGTTTCTTGTAGTTGGCCACCAGGTTTGCACACATCTCAGGAGGGATTTTGTCCCACTCCTCTTTGCAGATCTTCTCCAAGTCATTAAGGTTTCGAGGCTGACGTTTGGCAACTCGAACCTTCAGCTCCCTCCACAGATTTTCTATGGGATTAAGGTCTGGAGACTGGCTAGGTCACTCCAGGACCTTAATGTGCTTCTTCTTGAGCCACTCCTTTGTTGCCTTGGCCTTGTGTTTTGGGTAATTGTCATGCTGGAATACCCATCCATGACCCATTTTCAATGCCCTGGCTGAGGGAAGGAGGTTCTCACCCAATATTTGATGGTACATGGCCCCGTCTATCGTCCCTTTGATGCGGTGAAGATGTCCTGTCCCCTTAGCAGAAAAACACCCCCAAAGCATAATGTTTCCACCTCCATGTTTGACGGTGGGGATGGTGTTCTTGGGGTCATAGGCAGCATTCCTCCTCCTCCAAACACGGCGAGTTGAGTTGATGCCAAAGAGCTCGATTTTGGTCTCATCTGACCACAACACTTTCACCCAGTTCTCCTCTGAATCATTCAGATGTTCATTGGCAAACTTCAGACGGGCCTGTATATATGCTTTCTTGAGCAGGGGGACCTTGCGGGCGCTGCAGGATTTCAGTCCTTCACGGCGTAGTGTGTTACCAATTGTTTTGACTATGGTCCCAGCTGCCTTGAGATCATTGACAAGATCCTGCCGTGTAGTTCTGGGCTGATTCCTCACCGTTCTCATGATCATTGCAACTCCACGAGGTGAGATCTTGCATGGAGCCCCAGGCCGAGGGAGATTGACAGTTCTTTTGTGTTTCTTCCATTTGCGAATAATCGCACCAACTGTTGTCACCTTCTCACCAAGCTGCTTGGCGATGTCATCAAGGCAAAGGGTGGCTATTTGAAGAATCTCAAATATAACATATATTTTGATTTGTTTAACACTTTTTTGGTTACTACATGATTCCATATGTGTTATTTCATAGTTTTGATGTCTTCACTATTATTCTACAATGTAAAACTAAAGAAAAACCCTTGAATGAGTAGGTGTGTCCAAACTTTTGACTGGTAGTGTATATATACACACACACACACACACACACACACACACACAGTGTGAAAAACAATATAAAAGAAACATGAAGTGTCCAGTGTTTAATGTCACTATATACTGTGCATTGGACAAACTGGACAGGTAAGCATTATCCCAGCCAGAACGGCCAATAGGTCAGGAGCTTATCTCATGTTTCTGTAGCGTGAGGCAACTTGATATACAAGAACACTTCTTGGACCCAATCCTGAGTGCCAAGCAAAGAGGCATTGGGTTCCATTATTAAAGTCTTTGGTATGACTCGACCTGGGATCAAAACCCCAACCTTCCAATCTCAGGGCAGACACAAGGCTACTGAGTTGATATTCCAAGTAACTTAATTTTTCTCGTCTCAGTTGACCTCTGAAACTCAATACCTACAAGCCAATTTCGTTTCCTCAAACCACACAGGATATCTGATACACATCCGAAATAGACCAGAATAGCTGTCAGAATAACGGTCTCTCTCATTGCTTGCTCATATTGCAGTGTGTTCTACAAAGGGGAGTGTTATACTTTCCCTCAAGTTCAATCAATATCAGGTAACTTGTATCGTATATGGTTATTTATATAATATCATATACATAGGCTATTAACTACATAACCAATATTATTGAACTTTTTATATTTATGAACATGTCATCCTGTATGACTATGTTGACAGGTTGTGTAACCAGAATACACATACACACCACCTCACCGACTCCCACCCCACCTCACCCCCCCATCCACCCCCACAAAACCCATCATATTATTCTTCATCGCTAAATCACAAAATCCCTAATAGGTTTAAAACAGTGGTTATTTTATCCCCAAGCCCTGAGTTTTGCCCCACTGGCCACCAAGGTTTCCATTTCACCGTGATGACAGCACAGGCGGCCATATTGATGGAGCTCAAACTCAAACCAGACCTCCCAGCCTTCTCCTTTAGACCGGCGGGGGCTATAACACACTCACACAGAGAGAAAGTGCTGGCCGTCTCACTACTAACCACAGTGTCCACTCCGATAAGTACTAAGTGTTGGGTTTTAGACCAAGTCTTGAACCCACCGAAGTACAATTACAGCTCATTGTCTTGGGGACACACACACACTTGGAAAGCTCCCAGTCTCTGTCACGCCTAATCATGGTTTAATACTATGGCGACATACAATACACTGTTTCTTTGTTTTCGCTGGGAATGCAACCTCTGGCCATCTATAATGTGTTACACAGATTGAGTCTCGAAAGGTTTGCCTTTTGACGGTCGACCACACTTTTGCTTCAGGAGATATTATCAGATGAGCTCCATGTGCGTATCACACATTTTAATTCAGATTTTCGCTCTAGTCATGCATTGCTGTCAACAGGAAAGCTCTGTACTTAGCTAAGGGTATGTACAAAACGGTATTGTGTTGACAGCAATGTATGACATCAAAAAAGTCAGATTTAGGCTGGAGTTTATGGAGCTAAATGCGACAAGTGTGACATGTGACAAGTCAATGTGGTCCAGAGTCAGTTAAATCATCCATCTGGTCCTTCTTTCCAACCCATTGGCCCACTCAGCAGAGCTCTCCTATTCTATTTTGTATCAGAACATCTCATGGCGAATATCAATCTAGCTGTACAGCAGTTTGTCAACCCAATCTGGCAACCCTGTTTTTACCTCAATCTGGGTTGTGTTCATTAGGCATCAAACATAAGAAAACAGACTAAAACAGGGGAAGGGACTACATGGACCAGTCCAATAAGAAACACTCATTTTCTCTTTCCATTGCAAATTGTTTTAAAACGTGATCTGCTGTGTGCCATATTGAACACGACCTTGGCAATCCTGTGTTTCCCTCTCTCCAGGAACTACCATGTGTTCTACTACATGTTGGCTGGAGCCAGTGAGGGTGAGAGGAAGGCCTTCCACCTGCTCAAACCTGAGGAGTACCACTACCTCAACCAGGTGGGCTCTCCACACACACACACACACACACACACACACACACACAGGGAATCGTAATGTAGTATGGGTGGATTCGTGTGTGTGTGGGTCCTGTGGCCACATGTAATAGCGAAAGAGCTGCTTAGACTGCAGATGATGATGATGATAATGGTTGCACTTCAGTTGGATGTTTGTCTTGCACTTACATTCATAAATGGAGCACTTCTCAAATCCTCTGGCTATTGATTGCTTTGACCCACATTTCCAGTATGTGTCTGTTCACAGCACCAGTACTGTGTGTGCCCGTGTGCGCGCATGTGTGCGCATGTGTGCGCGTGTGTGTGTTTGTGGGTGTGTTTGTGTGTGTGTACACATCTGCCTACTTTGGCAACAGATGCATATACAGATTCACAGGACAGTGGTGAAAATCAGAATCCTTTGTTCCTTGGTTATTTTTTGGCATCCCAAAAAAGTAACTGTTTTTTCCCCCTCCTTTTCCCCCAAAACACCCCTAATCCCCACGACAACAAACCCAGCTCCGTCTGTTACTATGCACCGCTGTTTCCATGGCGACAGCATGAGTCGAGAGTTAATCTCGATTCCTGGCGCGTGCAGAGGAGCTGGCAGTCTCGTTTCTGTTTGTGTGTGCGTGTGACGATGGCCTGTGTGTTCATGGTGTGTAAAGTAGTCTGTGTTTTTGTTTTCTCTCTGTCGCTCATTCTCTCCCGCTCTCTTCCTGTCTTTCTCTCTCTTTATGACTGTATACGTGTCTGTGATACAAAGGAGCAAGGGCATTCTCCAAACAGATTGCTGCTGTCTTTTATCCTTTCTAGTAAAGAATAAAAGTGTATCTGCGATGTGTGTGTCCGTGTGTAGATGCGTGCAATGCATATGTGCATGCATTTGCTTGTGTCTGTCTGTTTGTCTGTGTAGCCCTAGCCCCAGTGAACACTCCAGACCCTATCTGGGAGCAGGGTATGAATTCCTCCCATAGTTGAACAGTTCTGTCACTCTCACTTCCTTCCTGTGTCCATGTGTCTCTCCACAGAGATAGAGTCTGTATCACTCTCTGTTCTCTCCCTCTCTCTCGCTCGAAACATTCTTGGAAAGACTGAGATCTTTCTTTCTCCGCAATTCAAACCAGTTGTGTCATTCATTTTTCAGATTAGGTCATTGCTAAGTGGATTGAATTATCACAGCTTTGGGGATTTGTGGTATCTCTGTGTGTGTGTGTGTGTGTGTGTGTGTGTGTTTAGAACAGTTTAGTGAATTTCCCCTTGTGTATTAACAGTATGCGTCATCTCCTAGTCAGTTGAGTGAGTGTGTTTGAGTGTGTGTGTGTGTGTGTACGTACCTCTTTCTAATCCCCTCTACCTTACTTCCAGATGACAAAGAAATCCCCCAGACTCCACTGGGAGAATTACTATGAGAGCGAGCTGGTCAGTATTGTGTGTGTGTTTAGTTGTGTATACCTCTTTGCGTGTGTGTGTGTGTCTGTGTACATGTGAGGTTCATTTGGTGCTGGGTTGGGCCTCGGCTCTTGTCACGTCTTCACACGTGAGAACACACTCCTGTTTATTTTTGGAGTGTGTGTGTGTGTTGATATCATTCAGTGTTTTGTTGTCTCACTGCCATTGTCTGCACAGCCTTCACTTCTAGTGGTCGATGTAGTGGTCATTGTGATGTCTTGTATCTGGGATACTGCTTCAAATTCAGCACACTCTCCCCCCCTCTGTCTCTCTGAGTGTCTGTTTACATCGCATGTCTCAGGGGTGAGTCTATGACCTCCCTGCCCTTTCGTCTGCAATCCCTGACCCCTGAGCCAGAGGAGATGATGTCAGAGTCTCTGTCGCACTGTGCCTCTCAGCACTTCCTGACAGCTGGCTGTACTCTTTCCCTCTCTTTCCCTCTCTTTCCCTCTCTTTCCCTCTCTTTCCCTCTCTTTCCCACTCACTCACACGCTCTGAAACATAAACAAACACAAGGGAGCGTCTGACACGATCACAATGACCAAACATGTTTGCTGTTTTTATTTGGGGTGTGGTATGTTCCTGGCTTGGTGGCTGTGGGTTTATTTCAGTGTCTCGGGGTGTCTTTGGGTTCACTTTGGTCGATTGCTTGGGTGTGAGAAGCATGCTGTCGTGGTACACGTTTTGAATGATGAGCACTTTCTCACATAACACTGATGGCCTGTCAAAAGGCATTTACCGCTCAAGTCTGTGATAGGACTAGGTAAGGAGCCAATTCTAACTTGAAATATAGAAGTGTCTCTTGAAATTTCTCGCACTGATATCAATGTATGATTTAAGAGAACATTTGAGATACGCGCACAGACAGTATCTCAAGTCAGAATTTGGCCCTAAGTGGGAACATCACTAAAAGCAATATGCCATATGTATCGAATTTTATCCCAAACATTTTCACCATGTACATTTTAGGGTTAACTCAATGACAAGGCTTGCTAAGTAAGCAGTAGAATATGTGCTGAGTAAGATCAAAATAATAAAATGCCTTTCTCTCAGTTTGAGAAGGTAAAAGAACAGAATGGAGCTTTCTTCAGTCATTCCCTCAGTGTCCTAAACCGATTGTTTTGATTAGACAAGTACCAAAGTTAAGGGTTTGGTGTAGGCCCAGAGATTCCAAGTTGAACTGTCCGACAATGATCTCTCTTTGTTTTCTCAACTTCCTTTGACATATCACATTGCGCCGTTTGGCATTTGAAACAAACCCAGCAATTTGGAAATTCTCTTCTTACCCAAGTGCATGTGAAGCCTTAAATCTCATGTTGGATTAAGTGCACATTTTCACCTCAGAAATTGCCCGTTACCCACATTACAGTATGTACCCTGGAAACTGTAAAGAAATCCAAACAGTAGGGAATAATGTTAAATGGTTTTAGAAGCTGATCCTGTGTGTGTATGCCCTCTGCCCCATCATTAGAACTGAAAGGAAGGCCCCTCTCTATTTGCCTTGCCAGTGGCCACCAGGCTCCGAGCATGGAAGGAAAACCTTCTGTGTGTTTTGGCTTGACCACCTCCCTTAGAACAACAACCGAACACTCCTATGCCACAAGGTTATTGTATAAAGCAGGGTTATACAATTCCTGACCTGGAGGGCCAAAGTAGTTCTGTTTTTTGTTTTTTTTATTGATTGATTTCATGGTCTCCCAGGTCTAAATCAGTCCCTGATTAGAAGGAGAGAATGAACCAGAGCTCAAGGACCGGAGTTGACTATCCCTGATATGAAAATGTTTGTTAGTGATTCAGTAAAGAGCATAATATATGAACTAGAAAACCATATGGTAGGGTGGTTGTGTCAGAAGTAGTGTTAGAGTGTGTACGATATGCCTAATAGTGAGTGTGTGTGTGTAGTATTCTACAGTATATGTGTATATTGTATGGTCAAGTGTGTTGATAGAGGTACTTGTTACTTCAGCAGGACTGCTTCACTGTGGAAGGGGAGGACCTGAAGCACGACTTTGAGCGGCTACAGTTGGCTATGGAGATGGTGGGGTTCCTGCCTGCCACACGCAAACAGTAAGTATATTGCATGCACGCACGCACGCACGTGCACACACACACACACACACACACACACACACACACACACACACACACACACACACACACACACACACACCATGCAAGTCTTTCTCCCTTTCTCTCTCCATCTTTTCCACACCATCATTTCTAAAGCAGTTGTCTAGGTTTATCCTCATCTTAACTCATATTTGACTCCCTCCCTCTCTCCCTTCCTGTCTGGTAGGATCTTCTCCCTTCTGTCTGCTATCCTCCACCTGGGCAACATCCGCTACAAGAAGAAGACCTATAGAGACGACTCCATAGACATCTGTAACCCAGAGGTGCTGCCCACCGTCTCGGAGCTGCTCGAGGTATACCTCCTTGTCAATTGGTCATTCATTCACTCGTTGACTTGACCCGTCGATTCTGATATCTGTGGTTCTTCTCAGCAGAGTGCTTTATGATGTCATTGTTTTTCCTTCACATTGAGCCCATCGAGGTAATGGGAGTGCCTTCTGCTGTGTTCAAGCACATCTTCTATTGACAGGCAAGCCTGAGAGCTACTTCAGGTCCCCAAAAGCCACCGAACAATGCTACGCTACAACAGTTATTAGGTCAAGGACTGTTCTCAGGTCTGCTATGGTATGGTTGATCTGCAATATTATGACCTATCAATAGAGGCTTAGAACTCTAATTTTATCTACCCATGACTGAGGCGAGAGGATCTTAATAATTTTTTTCTAAATATGTGTATTCAATTTCTTCAGCTCAGGTTTACAGACAGACACCAAGAGATTTGAATACTGTACATATGGACATACATTCTTGACATGTTAAACTGTTTGGCCTATGCACAAGCAATGTTGAGTTGTCAACTAACGTGAATTCAGTGTGAAATCTACAAAAAATTTCACCATGTAATTGGATTTAGGTTAAAAGTTGGGTGAAAAAAAGACTAATCCCTTACTTTGATCCAATCAGTTTTCCACGTTGATTCAATGTCATCACATTATTTTTGTTGAAATGATGTGGAAACAACGTTGATTCAACCAGTTTTTGCCCAGTGGGATAAGACATGTTCAACATTGAGATGTCTTTTGAAAACTGGATGATGCGGTGACTAGAGCTCATGACTGCCAGAGTATTGTGCAATACACACATGTGCACACCCTGCCAGAGTATTGTGCAATACACACACGTGTGCACACTGCCAGAGTATTGTGCAATACACACACGTGCGCACACTGCCAGAGTATTGTGCAATACACACACGTGCGCACACTGCCAGAGTATTGTGCAATACACACACGTGCACACCCTGCCAGAGTATTGTGCAATACACACACGTGCGCACACTGCCAGAGTATTGTGCAATACACACACGTGCACACACACACACACACACACAATCAATTGTGGCATGGCATCCATAATTTGTCACTGAATTCTTTTCAAATGTTTGCGTAGACTGCAAATAGTTTTAATGGTTTTGATCGCCACAGGCTAGCGAAGAGGCCAATGCAAGGGAAATAGTCCAAAGCAATCAAATCAAATCAAATTTTATTTGCCACATGCGCCGAATACAACAGGTGTAGACCTTACAGTGAAATGCTTACTTACAAGCCCTTAACCAACAATGCAGTTTTAAGAAAGAATACCCCCCCAAAAAAATATTAATAATAATAATAACAATAAATAAATAAAAACTTTTTTAAAAACACTAAAAACTGAAAAGCAAAATTGCAAAAAAATACAATATAAAATAATAGTAACAAATAATTAAAGAGCAGCAGTAAAATAACAATAGTGAGGCTATTAACAGGGGGTAGCGGTACCGATTCAATGTGTGGGGGCACCGGTTAGTCCAGGTAATTGGGGTAATATGTACATGTAGGTAGAGTTATTAAAGTGACTAGACATAGATAATAAACAGAGAGTAGCAGCAGCGTAAAAGTCCAATATTTCCGTAGTACTGCATTCTCTAATCACCTTGAATGTTAATTAAATCTATGAGATACACACCACTCTTAACGAATCACATCTTGCGCCTGACAATTTGTTGGAGTATTGCCTCCCAAAAGCTGACATTGTTGAAATGGTTGTTTGAGCAGAGCTGGCTGAACTCGCACTGTAAATACATGGTGGCCTGGTCTCATATGAAACTGCCAAAGCCCCGTCAGCACCAACACGTACACACACACACACACACACACACACACACACACACACACACACACACACACACACACACACACACACACACACACACACACACACACACACACACACACACACACACACACTAAGCTGGACATATACTGTAGGACTAACATGATTAGACAATGGCCGTGTTCCATTTGAGGAACTCAAGTAGGAGACATAACGGGAAGAAAAAGATTGGTAGACTCGTGAACTAGATAGAACAGGAGGTCCATAGAATATCCATGTATAATTATATTCAAAAATGGTTCATGTGCTGAGAAGTGTCTCCTTATCTTTGGGGTCCGGATCACATTCTCCTTACAGTCTTCTTGTACCCTTTTCACACTACTGAACTGAGCCAAATCAGCCCATGTGAAGCTGTACCGCAACCAGCCTGTATACACCAGTTGCTGGATCCATGCTGAAAAGGAAAATATCTGAGCCAGTACACAGTACGGTTTCAATCAGCTCGATAGTGTGAAAAGGGCATTGGATTTGGATATATTGTAGTCCCAGTTCTCTGACTCACGCTTTCACTGCAGTGCTAATGAACCCACACAAGTGCCTTGTGGGATTGGGCTTGCATTAGACATGCCCACCTCCTTAACCACAGCTCCTACACTCTGTCTCCCTCCTACAGTAGAACCACAATGCATCATCACTCTCCACTGTTGTTCCACAGCTATGGCCTCTGACTGCTAATGCTGGCAGCCAACTGAGCATTTCTTCTGAGCATGTACCTCAGAATGTAGCCTGTCATTGTCACAGGTGATATATCTAATTGTGCTGTGCTTTAAATACCAGAAGATAACTCAATCAATTCAGTCATTAGCTGTTATAGGAGGGGATCAAGGTATCTTTCTACACTACTTAAGCACACTGACTGACATAAAGCCTACATAACCATGACATAACCATGACATAACCGCTAGCTGAAGTCAACTTACTGTAGAAACTCTGACCGACGCCTACTCAACGTCGACACATGCTGTTCTCATTTCACTCTAACCCGGACACAAACCACAAGCATTAGCAGTCTATCCTGTTGAGTCACTGAAAAAACAATTATCAAAGTGTGTTGGAAAGCCTGACAACTGTGCCACAGGGTATTATGCAGAAAGGGGAACCAGTTGGGTGTTTTAAGGAAGAGAGTCGTTTTGTGCCGCGGGTACCATGTGACTTATGTGGACGAGAGATGAGGCACATGCTCACCACATGTTCAGGGTCGGAGAGAGTAGAAGCACCATCGAAGGGAAATACTGGGGTTTCTCGATGCTCTGGTACAGTAGTCACAGTGTCACGTTATTCAAACAAGGCAGGGTTTGCTGAATTAACGGGATAGTTGACCCAAGTTATTGGATACTATGCAATTAATTTATACAGCGGGAGTGTCAGCCAGCAACTAAAGATTTGGGTTTGCTTACTTAGCTAGGGATAAGCTTTAGCACTAGTATCCACTGCAAAACAGTGATAGCTGGGAGTGATAGCTGTTGGCGCTTTTCTAAAAGCATGCCTAAATCACCTCAAAACCACTATCATAAGCAGCAAATATCTAGAACATAAACATGTATCATGTCATACCATGGGTGAACTATCGGTCACCAATTCACCATCTTTGCGTTTACTATACTATGGTGTCACGTGAGCAGCACTTTCCACAGGGAAAGCTAATTGGCTGTAGTGTAGACTGATGCATGAATGGGAATATGACTGGCTCGTACTTCCTGTTTCTTGAGGGGGCGGAAGAGGAAGTGGAGCAGGGTCAGATGGTAGAGTTGACAGACTGGTTCCTCTGGGCGGACCTCAGGGTCCCAGTAGGGCTAGGTGGAGCTAGGACAGTGTTAAGTGATGCAACTGTGACAATAACACAGTTCCTGGGTCAGTTTGGGCTCTGCTTCAGGGTGCATCTCCCATTAGCTTGATTGAGAAATGTATTAATAAACAGTAACAGCACAGAATATTTTTTTAATGTATTAAAAACCTTGCTAGAGAATGGAATCTAAGTGCTGTTACCAGGCGACAGTCATGCAGCACAGACCAATCAGTGAGCAGTAGAATTAGCTCTGCACCCAGTGGGGGATTATCAAGAAGTATGAAATTAAGTCTGATTAGTGCCCCCCACAAATGCTGCTGTTTACATCAAAGACCATTATAAAGGAAACAACTGAAAAAAATATAGCCATGATGGTGTTTAAGATCAACACCGCTGCCGCTACACACACACACACACACACACACACACACACACACACACAGGGTACCCTCTGCCGCGTCCTCAGCAGCAGCTGTCAGCCGCACTCCCATAATCCCAGTGGATGGATGAGTGGTCAGATGTGTGTGCAGTGACATCTGCCTCTCTCAGCATGGCCCTGGCTGCTGTAAATGGGCTGTCGTGCTTGGGCCGAGGCTAGAGTGTGTGTGTGTGTGTCCTGCTCTACACAATAAGCTAATCTCAGCTAACCATGTCAATGTCACTTAACCAATACTCAACCCCCCCTTTCTAACTGCTATCTGTTGTTATCTAGAAATATATGTATGCAACTAATAGCTATGCACTCTATTCAGAATGACTGTATGTCTCTAGTTCCTGACTGACCTTGTATTTGTCTTTGTCCACAGGTGAAGGAGGAGATGCTGTTCGAGGCTCTGACCACGAGGAAGACTGTCACGGTGGGAGAGCGGCTGATAGTGCCGTACAAACTGGCAGAGGTGAGCGCGAGATTTCCTGCTCTGTTTACGATAACAAACATAATAACACAACTGCACCAGACCACACAGGCGGCTTTGAACCCTATCCGACCCCAAAGTGACAACAACAACAGCCGCAGAACTTCAGAACTCTCCTAGCTATTTCATCTTGTATAAAGTTTTGGGACTTGGTTTATAGAGTTGTGTTTATGAATTGTTGACAGACTAATTTCTTCAGGACACTACTTGTTTGCTTGGATTTGCTTTCCTTCCGTCGAAACTCAAAAGGCTTTTGTAGTCCACGGGGGGAGGGCGTACAGTACATTCCACAAGGCCTCAAGAAAGCAGAGCGGAGTCTCTTTGTTTGGCAGCAGAGTGCGTCAGTGGTCAGGGATTATAAGGGGCCGTCTCAGGAGGGTTTGTTGTGGTGGCGCTGCCCCCCCCCCCCTTCCTCAGGATTGTGCCGTTGTGGGTCTCTTCCTCTATGACTTTCTGTTTCCTGTGAGGTTTACTATGTGGCGTTAACCCCCTCAGCGCCAAAAGGCATAATTGTATGCCAAATCTCACAGAGAGCCTATTTGAAATGACCTTAATACAAAAACCTGGGTTGAGTTCATTGATTGGGGCATGTGACGGAAAAAGTTTTAAAGTTTTGCAACAGAAAACGGAAATGTGCATTTCATATTGGACCAAGTAGTCCCTCCCGGTTTCACCCCCTTCTGGTTACACATTAGCGACTAGCTACACAATAGCTGCATCCATCCCCCCAGTGGTCTCTGCCTAGGAATGTTCAACCTCCGCTTGAATATACAGCCGAAGCCGGACCAGAAACCAAATCCTGTCTCCCTCAGCCTCTCCATAGACAGTCGTAATAGAGGCTCAGACAATGGGCTTTAAAAAAACGTTATCCTATAGGAAGACTGTGGCTACAATATATACTCAATAATTAATGTTACTGTAGCTCTGTTGTTCTGCTAATGCTATGGAAGTCCCCCATCTGCCACAACTTAATGTGGAGAGAGAGGGAGGTCTTTGAGGAGGTGGAGAGTTAAGAGAGAGAAATAAAACGAGGGGCCCTCCACTGCATGGAAATCCCCATCCGTCACAGCCTAATATGAGCCTTTAGAGAAAGGAGAGAGGGGGAGAGATGCAATTCACAGTGTCAGAAGGAAATCTGCACAGAACAGCAGTAAGCGTGTTCTCTACACTACAGTACATCAGTAGGATAAGGCTGTGGTTGTTGTTTGCCCGGCAGCTGTGGAGAAAGAGCTTAGTGACTGCAGAGGCTGTAGCAGTTCCCCTGGTCACTGAGATCTCATCTCTGCCCCCAGAGGAGAAACTAGGCATATACCATCTTTCTCTCTCTTTTTCTGTTTCTCTCCCTTTCCCCCTTTCTCTCTCTTTCTCTCTCTGTGTGTTTCTCTCTTTCTCTCTGTCCCCCTTACTCGCGCTCCTCTCTCTCTCTTTCTCTATCTCTCTCTCGACTAGAACTGCATTCCAATAGGTTCTGTACAACCTTTCCCTCCTAACCTCAGATAGGTGAGAGAGTGTTTATTGATTGTTTGGGTCCAGTAGTAAGGCTTCTCTCTGTTCCCAACTAAGGGGTTAACACACATTTCTGAGGAACGGCCTGACTGGTTGGATACCTGTCAGTTTCCTTCTCTCATTACTTAATTGCCATTTTATTCTAGTGGCAATTATATATTACCAAGCATTAACCTAGTTATTTCATGAGAGAGGTCCTATAAAAGGAAGCCTACCTTAGCTAAGGCTTGCTGCATGCTAGCTAATGAGAGAGGAAGAGTGTGTGTTTTAATTAACCACGGCTCTGCTGTGCATTCATGTGCTTTAGATTAAATGGTGCCACTCTATATCAAAGCTATTTAAATGTATTTGCAGTTTACACACACACACACGCATAAACACACACACACACACACACACACACACACACACACAGTCTTATTTTATTAACCTTGTGGTGACACACAATTGATTCCTCATTCAAAATCCTATTTTCCCTAACCTTAATCCTAAACCTAAACCTAACCTTTAACCCCTAACCCTAACTCTAACCCTAAACCCCCAATAAATAAATAGCCTTTTTCCTTGCGGGGACAGGCAAAATGTCTCCAGTTGGTTGAATCTTTGTTCGTTTACTATTCTTGTGGGGACTTCTGGTCTAGCGAGTAATAGCGAGTAATTTGCGTTGCGGGATCATGCAGGGTGTTGTTTTACACCTCCTGTGGCTCACGGACCATGTTTGTAAGCCATTAGCGAGAAAGAGCAAGGCCCCCTCTGGTCGTCTCCTCGGCAAAGGCTTCTAATTACCAAACACCAGCCAAGACCTTGTTATAGGGTCGACCCCATAACAGTTTACTAAACTCTCTCTGATAACTTCCCTCTAATTATTTTGTCAGCCTCTTGGGTGGCCCTCTCATAAAAACTTTGTTTTTAGGTAGTTTCTTTTCTCCATCCAATTCCATTTCCTAACATTTCTAGCACTGTAGTTCCATTGTGGTAAATAATGGAATCTGGTTGTGACTTGTGACGTTTAATGACAATGGATGTTCGTTCACGCGACACATCATCGTGTTTGAAAATCCCTGGTGGACGTTTGAGCAGTTTTGATTGGGAGCGTGTTTTGAAAGTGTTGCATAATGCATGGGAACTTACATAACCTTTGGGAGCAGGAAACAGCGAAGCGCTTACCTCTAAAAATAATGCCTAGATCAATAATGCATTAGGGAAAAAGAGGAGGCTTTTTAAAACACACATTTTTGCTTGGTCACGATTCTCTACTCCCCCGGACCTAGTTGAAACGGTTTAGACATGTACAGCAAATGCACTGTACATTAGGGGTGCGTTCAGGGACACACAACATTACAGTCTGTTTAATAGAAATGTGTTGTATATCACATATTTTTACTTCCTCATGAATTTGTGCTCCCCTGGACCTAGTTGAATCGGTTTAAACACACCTACTGCCTGCTAACACTCTACTGTACCTTAGGGTTGTGTTCAGGGGCATGCAAGGTTACCGAAGGTTCATATACAGTACAAATGTGTAGTATGTCATGTAGAGTACGTTGGACGTGCCTCCAGTTACAGCACAGACCTCTGTCTGACCAACCACAGCTAACCAGAGAAACTCCAATCCCCTTCCATAACACTCCTACTGCCAAAGGCGGATGGTCATAATGTCCAAGTCCTCATTCCAACTCCAATTATAATAGCTTAGCTTAGGGCTGTTACGGTGACCGTATTACCGCCACAACGGCAGTCACGAGTCATGACTGCAGTCAGATTCCACGTGACCATTGAGTCATGGTAACTAGGCTTCTCCAAAACGGTGCTCTGATGTACATTAGTAGCCTACCAAACTTGCTTACGACCAGTCGCTAATCGCCTGGTACTTGGCCCTCTACTCTGACATTAATGCAAATGTATCGTAAATCAAACACTTCATGAGAGCCCTGTCATTCAGAGTTTGAGCAGAATAGATCACCTGTTGCGCAGCGAGAGCCAGTTCCTCATACCTGGGTGATGCATGGAATGAAATAAGTGTTGCGCAACATTTCTTTAGGCTATGCAATTGAGTGAGAAAACAGAGTTTTGATGGCCTCTATTAAAAAGAGGAGGATCCCATCAGCTTTCTCTAGGCTACGCCTACTATGTTTATTTCTTAACTTTGGTATTATTAAGCACATTGCTTCGCTTTACAATCGGAGTATAGCCTACCTGGCTGGCATGAAAATGAACCGTGGGAAAAGCATCCTCCATTCGCTATTCAAGTGCATATGGATGACGGCTTTGTTTTCCCCTGCCCCTGTTCCGACAGGTGCATGATAATGGCCCATTTTTAAATCAGAACTGATTTCACACATATTTTTTTGTATATGTAAAGACAAGATAAAATTGAGAATAGTCTGATGTCACTGTTCCTTTTTATGGATCGATGACGTAAAGCTGTAGTGTTGTAGCACAGCAGGGCTTGGAGTGTAGAAAAACCAGAGGAACTTGTTAGCTGGCATGCTAACAAACGTTACACTATTGTTGGCTAGCTAACATTGTTGGCATTAGAGGAACGTAGCTGGCATGCTAACATGTTACCAAAGATAGTACAGTATGAAGATTCCTAGAAACTGCTTCTCCAATAAAAATCCCTGATCACGCTTGTAGGTGATGTTGGCTAGCTAAGCTCATGCGCAGAAACACGTCATGGGGTCTCACGGTCTTCTCGCGCTGAACTGCGTATGTGCAGGCCGTCAAATCAAATTCACTCCTGTGATATAAAGTAGTTTTTGAGTAAAATGAAAGCATGTCTGTTTTTCACTTTTATGAGTTTGGAGTAATAACACGTTCAGCTAATCTACATTGTGCCTTTAGATTTCATTCACTTCTCCCATTGACTTCCAAAACCCCGGTCTGGTCTGTAGTCTGCTTTGCGAAGCGTTACTGGAAGTATCGCGATGTTGGGCCTCTGGTTAGAAACTGATGTTGGCTAACATTGTTAGCATCTTCTATTCATTCTCCAATAGCAAGACACGGTTCCATGTAGCCTACCACTGTCTACCCTAGCCGAGGTATACAGTAGGTGCCGGTTTAGAGAAAGTTAGGCTCAGACGGTTTCTTTACAGATATCCACACATTATACAATCCGGATGGACGTACAAGGAGTTACGGATTATAGATATGCCTTCAGTAACAGGATTTTCAGAAACAAGTAACCCCCTAAGGCTCCGCATTGTAGCCTTCTAGGGCGTACATGCACGAATGCACGGCGTCCAATATAGGGTTACACATTCCCCAACGTCTCAGCACCACTTCTTGTGTCCTCCTTAAAGAACAGATCAGGTCAGAATGCTGATGATAGTCCATCTGTTCATTAGCATCTCTGAAGTACGTATTTCAACGTTTGACAGTGGCCAAGTGCAAAGGTAGAAACGCTAAGTGTACACCTTGGTTTTGCTTTGCTAAGCTGGTGCACTGCAGGGAGCAGGTGTTGGCTGGGCTCCCAGCAGGTGGGAGAGAGAGTGGTATTACAATGGATCAGCATCCCTGAGTCAATGATACTGCAGATGGACAGACCGACATATATCTGGATTGAGAGACATGTACTGTAAACAGACAGACATACCGGTGGCTAGCTAGATATAGAGAGATGGAGATGCATACTTATACTGACAGATGGGTAAATGGATATATGGTAATGGAAAGACAAATACAGTAGAGACACACACAGACACACACACAGAGACACCCAGACAGACACCCACCCACCCAGACAGACACCCACCCACCCAGACAGACACCCACCCAGACAGACACCCACCCACCCAGACAGACACCCACCCACCCAGACAGACACCCACCCACCCAGACAGACACCCACCCACCCAGACAGACGCCCACCCACCCAGACAGACGCCCACCCACCCAGACAGACACCCACCCACCCAGACAGACACCCACCCACCCAGACAGACACCCACCCACCCAGACAGACACCCACCCACCCAGACAGACACCCACCCACCCAGACAGACACCCACCCACCCAGACAGACACCCACCCACCCAGACAGACACCCACCCACCCAGACAGACACCCACACACCCAGACAGACACCCACACACCCAGACAGACACCCACCCACACACCTAGACCGACACCTACACACACACACAGACAAACACCCAGAGACGCACACAGATAGACTGACACATACACACAGAGACAGACACACACACAGAGACAGACACACACACAGAGACAGACACACACACAGAGACAGAGACAGACACACAGACACACACACACACACACTCAGACAGACACACACACTCAGACAGACACACACACACTCAGACTCAGACAGACACACACACACACTCAGACAGACACACACACACTCAGACAGACACACACACACTCAGACAGACACACACACACTCAGACAGACACAGACATACATACACACAGACACAGACATACACACAGACATAGACACAGACATACATACTGACACACAGACAGACCGACATACAGACACACAGACAGACCGACATACAGACATGTACATGGAAATACAAATATATTAGACTAGAGAGATAGATAAGATAAACAGATCAGGAGAAAGATGGATACGGTACAGTAGTTTTGTTTTGTAATGCTGCAGTTATAGCCTTTGTGTGGGTTTGCCCGTGCATGTCTGATTAACCTTGTGCAGTATTACATCTCTGTAAGACCACATACTGTGCAGGAAGATTAGTGAGCACTTTAAGAAGGGGGAAACATCTGGGACAATAACATACTTAAAAAATATGTTACAGATGCTCACACACACACATTTCTATTTCTGTCTAGTGGATTAATTTGGTGTGCTGTGAACAGTACGGCAGATTATTTTGTGGAAATGTTTGCCATTGTTGCTTGTACCTAATCTACATTATGTAAGGCTTTGAACAACATGTCCTTATATATATTTAGCTCAAGATCAAGAGGGAAGGATATTGTATGTGTGTGTGTATCTGTGTGTGTGTGAGGGGGGGGGGGGGGAGGGGGGGGGGGGGTTGACAGGAGGATAAACCCATGGTCCAGATTAAATGCATAAACAGTGTGGATAGCACTGTGATTGGAGCAGACTGTAAAATGTGTCATGATTGTCTCTCTGTGTGTGTAGGCTGGCACCGTGCGGGACTCCATGGCCAAATCCCTGTACAGCGCCCTGTTTGACTGGATCGTCTTCAGGACCAACCATGCTCTGCTCAACAACAAAGACCTGGAGGATAGTGCCAAGGTAAGATTTGGACCTACACACACACAGCACGCATGAAGTCATTCATGTAAGCACCGACACAAGCAAACATTTACTCACACGCGCACGTTCCCTCACACACGCGCACGTTCCCTCCCACACGCGCACGTTCCCTCCCACACGCGCACGTTCCCTCCCACACGCGCACGTTCCCTCCCACACGCGCACGTTCCCTCACACACACACACACACACACACGTTCCCTCCCACACGCTCACGTTCCCTCCCACACACACACACACGTTCCCTCACACATGCACACATATCCTCACACGCACACATTCTTCACACTCATGCAAGCTCTGGCACACGGGGGGGGGGGGGGGGGGGGCACCCTGGCACCGTGGCAGCTGACTGGCTTTGCCCAGTGGGCATGCAAAGGATTAGATCACAGATCACATTTGCGTACACATGTGTGCCCAGAACATTGAGGCAGATGGCATGATGGCCTCTTCTGCTTGTTTAAGTGGTGCTCAACAGACGTGTGTGTGTGTGTGTGTGTGTGTGTGTGTGTGTGTGTGTGTGTGTGTGTGTGTGTGTGTGAGCAGATGAGGGTAGATTTAGACTGCTGTGGTTTAGGGCAATGTTAGAGGCACTGTTGTCCCTTAGCCCACTCCTATCCCACAGTGCTGTCTAATGTGCTCAGACAGACCGCTAGACTCTTCAGACATAAGATATGGGAGCAGAGTTGAACATCCATCTATCACTCACAATTTGTCAGTCCCTCTTTATTGGGTCTTAAAAATTGTGAATGAACCTCTTCTCATAAGGCCTGCATAGAGATATCATGATGGCATAGACAGTGACATACGGTGCATCGTTATTCCATTATGTTAGGGTTATGTAGGTTTTGATGGAAGGTTCATCGAGCTCATTGTATTTTTTTCTAAATATAGTTATGTATTAAAATGTTAAATATTTGATAAATGCCAAATTAAACACATCTAACTGAACTCTCTCTTTCACTTCAGATTCTTTCAATTGGAGTGCTGGACATCTTTGGCTTTGAAGACTATGAGAACAACAGCTTTGAGCAGTTCTGCATCAACTTTGCCAACGAGAGGCTCCAACACTACTTTAACCAGCACATCTTTAAGCTAGAACAAGTAAGGTCTCTTTCAGTGTGTGCGTGTGCGCGCAATGTGTGTGTGTGTGTGAGTCAGTGCTTATGGACCACACTTCAGGTCAACAACAGAATTGGGCGTGTTCAGTCACACACCCAACTGGCGTAGAAGTTTTAACTGTTGTTTGAACTACAGTGTTGTGTGGACAATAAAGTGTCCTATTCAATCCAATGCTCCATGCTGTGACTGTAGAAATAGAAGGAAGCTGCGAGTCCACCCATCATGGAATGTTGACTCGAATGTGAATGTCCATTCTAGTAATTCTATTTCTATGGTTGTGACAGCGGTGGCTGGTATGCCTGTTTACTAGTTCCACAATAGCTATTGTGAGGCGTGTTGTAATTTCCTCTGTGTAGTATCCTCACCTTAGTCTTATTCGCTGGGCACACAATAGCACACACCCAGCCGCTGTGTGTGTTAGCGTCATACTGTGTGTGTGAGAGAGAGTCACAGTGTGTGTGTGTGTGTGTGTGTGTGTGTATTTGTGTGTGTCTGAGCTTCAGAGTGTTAGTATCACTGCATTGTGCCTATTCCACATTCCACAAAATTATGTTTTTAGATTATTTCCCCCAAAATGTTTATCGCTTCAGATTGAAACCGTAGATGAGAACCGCATTGAATGAATAGTGTTGTGAAAAAGGGCTATTTCCTCATCGTCGGAAGGCATGCAGTAAATGCATGGTTTACGAGGTCAGGAATTTACGCACACAGAGGTTTCCAGGCGGGGTGTTTTGATTTGGTTTTGATGAGGATGTTTTGGGCCTCTTGGCTACTGACTCGAGTAACGCCGCCCGTCTCCGCTCTGTCTGTGTTTACCACTCACAATGACCTGGAGATAGGCTCATTCTATTCTTGTTTTGTCTGGATGGTGTTAATTGTTTTGGTTTTGTCTCATTTAGCCTAGCGCCCTAGTGCCTGGCTTATGATGACTTTTGAGTGTGGCAATGGTTCTTATGCAGACTTTTGACTATGGTAAGTTGCTTATGTGTAGGGCCTTCTCAAATCACTAAATCACAGAAGCTAGACATTAAAACGGAATTCAACAATATTCAAAAATGTATTGACCTTGGTAGGAAATCAACTAAATCGATTGAACTTATTAGAAAATGTATAAATTTTATCATAAGACAGTTTATCATAAGACATGAACAAAATGTGTCAGTGATTCATATTCCCTGCAACTTTCTGCAACTGTCTGTGATGCACGTGTATATCTACCCTTTGTGTAGCCGTTAGCGATGATGCTAATGATAACCTTCTTCTTGTCGAGATGGAAAGGCTTTCTCAAAAACCTTCACAATTAAATGTTATTTACGAAGTAAACTATGCCTACCTGGCAGAATGATATCATGATTATTTGCATCAATCCAGTGGCCTTTTGTTTTGCAAGCTCCGTAATCACGTGCACTACATAAACCCAGCTGACTAAAGAATGGTCTCTTGCTGGTGCACAATTGAATTCAAGGGTAACTACACTCAACATTTTATCCTGATGTGGTTTAAGCGTTGTTGTGGACTTAGAACATCCAATAAAAACATGTAATTGTTTTTCTCTGTACCAGGAAGTGTAGTTCATCCATCCTTGCATTAATTCTATGATGCATGTTTTTATTTATTTATTCTTTATTTAACCAGTGCCCGTATCCACAAAACATAGGATCTAGGATCTGTCCATATAATATTATTAATTATGATCTAAAAGTCTAAACTGATCCTAGATCAGAACTCCTACTCTGAGACGCTTTGTGGATACAGGCCCTGGTCACATTGGGATAGGAATCTCTTTTTCAAGGTAGCCCTGAGTCCTTTAGGTGCCGGTTGTCATTGCTATGACCTGTCATTTGCGTCACAAACTGTGTCAGTACTGTTACTTACCACTCCATGACTCACCACCTGCGCTAGTACACGTACCTACTAACACACTGCCATTACAGTGAAATAGCAGGGCAGAAATACACACACACACACACACACACACACACACACACAGCTGCTAAGTGGTTGCGCTAAAGCAGGACCTCTAGATTCACTCTTCTGTCAATACATTTTGTCTGTAATTGTGTTTTGAGTGTTTTCATATCTAATCAGGTCTTTGTCTAAGTGTAGAATAATGTATGTGTGGTTGAATATCTGCTCTGTTTCAACCACCGCTGCACTGCACGTCCTCAGTGTACTTTGATTAGCATTTAGCATGTCACCCATGAGTAAATTAGGTGCATGTGTGTGTGAGATCGCCTGGATGACCTAGGCTGTGTGAAGAGCTGTCATTATGAGGCTGATGAGGCTGAGACACTTGAGTTTGCATTAACACAGTAATACACTTGATGAACCTCTGCTCTGCCCCCACCTCCATGTATGGCTCTCCTTCCTTCCCCCTCTCTTACTCTTTCCTCTTTCCTTCTCTCTCTCTATCTCTCTCTACTTTTCCTTCTCGCTCTCTCTCTCTCTCTCTCTCTCTCTCTCTCTCTCTCTCTCTCTCTCTGTCTCTGTCTCTGTCTCTGTCTCTCTCTCTGTCATGATTAGAGACTGATGAGCAACACTTCAGTTGTCATTAACACAATGACATACCCTGCACCCTCGTTCTGCAGTCAACACATCTCTGATACCCATGCATACAACTGCAGATGGATGTGGTATGCACTGCATGTTAGGTAGCCTACTCTGTAAACCACTGTAGCACTGTCATTCTCATGATAACCTCCTAAAACTGATGTCAGATGTACGCTGTGATCAGACAGACATGATGTCACGATGGCTGTCACCGCTCGTCTCCCTCTCTCCGGTTCCCGATTGGCTGTGGCAGGTCGGCGGGTGGGCCCAGCGCTTCTAGCTGGAAAAAAGAGCAGTGTTTTTAAACGTTTGGGCTAATGTCCCTTCACTCTCAATGAAGATCACATATAACCACCGGCTGGCATTGACTATGTAATCTGTTTCTGTCACCTCCACCCTCCACTCTGTGGGCTGGGAACACAACACACTGAGAGTTTTTATCCCAGCTTAGGGCCTTCACAGCAACCTTTGAAATGCACTAATTGCTCTTTTATCATAAAATAGAACATTTGATATGAAGTGAAATAATACAAATGATTTCCTGAACAAATACAGCTTGTCCAATTGCACAGTGTTGAGTAATATTAGTTCAGGTGTGAACAAATGTGTCATTTGTCATGGAAAACATTGTTGTGTAAGGCCCTGTCAAACATTTTCTGGCCTATCCAGACAAAGAATCGACGGAGCCCAGCCTGGGAGACGACATATCAAATCAAAGTGTATTAGTTACATACACAGATTTGCAGATGTTATCACAGGTGCACCGAAATACTTGTGTTTCTAGCGCCAACAGTGCAGTAATACCTAGCAATACAAACAAAAACAATACACACATAATCCATATGAAAGGGGACAGTTTAGCGATTTCATCAATCGTGGTTTCATCTCGCTGTGATATTTTCAGCCGGATTTAGAGCTCTCATTGTGAAAAATTACGAAATAACTTCGTAGAATTGAACCACGACCGGTTTCTCTTGGTCACAGAGGGACGAAATCCCTTCATCCGTAAAGCCGAAGTTGTAACGAGTCTGCAAACATTCTAATGGGGTCTCTGCGTCGATCAGAGGAGGCTTGGCAGAAGAAGAAAAAAAGCTCTATCACTAAATGTGATCATATTTGTTTTACAGTTATATGAAAGGTTAAATCTTATAATAAGTCATTTATAATAAGTCATTTACCTCAGCAATGTATAACTATCTTTATCAGAAAGGTGAGTTCCAGACCTTTCTAGAACTATGCAGCATTACTAGTTATTGTTTATGGCCATCTCATGAAAATAATTACTTTTGGGTATGTCTATTATCAAAAATTTTCCCATAACGTTCTGACACGATCGGGACCTGTTCCTTGTGATGGTCAACTAGAAACTGCCTCTTAAGCATTTACCCCAAAAACATCACCCCTAATGTCGCTTTAAGGGGGTTCAAGTTTATTATGCTTTAATAAATTCACCTACAAGTTTGGCCCTGCATAGTTATTGTTTTTTTCATATGGGAGTTTATTTTACAATCGAAACTGTGGAGGTTAAGTTGAGTACCAGGCCCTGTGGAAGGGTTGCCAGATTCTGACTGATTTGTGTTTGTGAATAGTACAGTGTGGTCGTGGCACCTCCCTCCCTCTGACATTTGAATGAAGGAAAATACTACACGCCTCTACTCCCCCTCCATTGCTCTGGGTCGAAGTTGCACTTCAACACAGATCTAGGATCAGCCTACAATCTCCAAATCCTAATCTGATTAGATCTTGATGAAATGCAAAAATGACCTCAGATTACTGTGTAGTGTCAACTTAATCCACTCCCCCTTGCTTGCGCTCAATCTAGGATCAGCTATCCAGTTTACCCTCCCCAAATCCTAACTTGTTAGGGTGATGTGCAAAACTGACCTTGAATCAGTGTCTAGGGGCAAATGCATCCTAGTCCTCTTCCCCCACACTGGGCCGTCTCACCTCTCCAACCAATCAGTTACTCTTATCAGCAGCGAGTATTTGAGTGTTTACATTTGAACAGTGGCCAAAGCAAATAGGACCGCACCAAATACTATTATCCATGGGGGCCCGACTCCAATGTTTACACCACCATGCCAATTGCTCCTTAATTTTCGCTCCATCTGTATGAAAATGATTTACAGACGAATCCGAGCTCAAAAACACTTGACCACAGCCTCTATGCAAACAGTGTATCACATTTACGCACCCTCCTGAGATATAGACTTCTCACCAACTTCAAGAAAACATCTGTGCTCTGGTATCTTTGTCTGAAATCAGAGGGCGATTCAATTCCGCCTTTCTATGAATAATTGTGTAAATAGAATGTCAGTTGATTCATAATACATCACACACCCACTTAGGTCTGTAAACTTTGTGAAATGTAAAATGGCCATAATTTTGATAGGATTTAATTAGCTTTACCGGTACCGCCTTATTCCAGCCCCTGTAGCTGCTTATTCTGGTCAGTGAGTTCAGCTTACCACTTGAGTACGTCATCACTATATGAGTCATGTGGACCCATCTTAAGTCCCAATCCTCTGACTCCTTCAGAACTCTCTGCTCTACAGTATTTGTACAGAGAAAGTCAACTACCCTCACTAACACTGATAGCCTGATCCCAGATCTATTTATGCTATGTTGCCTCTTTCCAACTCCTACTGGCAAGACTGCACAAACAGATCTGGGATCAGGCTATACAGAGATGCTGTATCTATACTGTAGCTGCCTTAAAGGTTTAATATCACCATAACCTGCTCCCAACTCCCTCTATAGACCCAGTGTTCCTCCCTACACTTCAATAAACCACCCTTTCATTTTATAGTAACGAGAGAGAGCATGCTTCTGTCCCCTATGGCCCGGCCTGTTAACACTGGGGCAGCCTGCCAAGCACAATACAGCATAGGATGCAGAGAGAGAGCAGTGAAAGAGAGGAGATAGTGAGAGAGAGAGCAGTAAGAGAGAGAGAGAGAGAGAGCAAGTGACTGAGAGGGGGGAGAGAGAGAGAGAGAGAGACAGAGCACAGGAAGAGAGCGCGAACTGCAGTAATAGATGATACGGCCATAACCCCTGAAAAGCTCTGTTGCACATAAAACGTATGTTCCCCTCTGTAATACAGGAAGGTTTAGGCCTGGATTGCTGTGCCCTGTGTTTAGTGCAGATTTGTCATGTCCCATGTTGGAATTTCATTGAAAATTCTAAAAAAAGAAAAGTTTATTTTGAACTTTAGTCTTTTGTGATAGATAAACACAGGAGCACTATCATAATGAGTCGGTATAGTAATGCTTCATGATGTGAGTAAGTTGTATGTACAATTTATTAGGTATAGTTTGCCTCTCTAACTGCCACTTGGGCTGAGGAATAGAACGGCATATTTCCCCAAAACGCAAACGAATGACTAATTTGACCTTTTATGGTTCCTTTTTTCATTTTCCACAACTTCTTTCTCACTAACTACCGCATGTTAAAAATGCTTTTCTTATTATACTAGCGTTTAGACCGTAGAGAGAGGAAGGGTAGGCATGTCAAGTCGAACACATGAAAGCATGTTCCTGCTTCAGCTGGCCACACCGCAAGCCCTGCTAGCTGCGGAGATGGGTGTCCCGGCTAGTTCCACTTCCTGGTCCTCTGTTGTTGTGTGACGGTGTCTGACCCAAAGACACACACACTAACTCCCACAGGGCTTCTGGGTCATACTCCAGTAGTCAGAGAGCTCGAGGGGCTTAGAACACCAGCTAACATACGTGACCCGCACCACTACACCCTGTTTATGTCCCCCAACTCCATTGGGTACCAGGTGTCATAAGCTTGTGGTTTTCCAGACTTTCTCGTGACGTTACACTGTAAAAGGTCTCGCCCTCATTTTTTGGGGGTGGAAACTGTTCACACGTGGACACACTGGAGACCTTTGTTGTATAGTTAAAGTCTGGTCTGTTTCAATGTGGCTTATGCTTTCTGTGTCCAGTATGAAGGAAGTTAATCCTTAAGTCTATTGACGCACCCATGCGTCAATCTCAGTAACGTAATAAAAAAATCCACATCAAAATCCATCAGTTTAAGCTAGAGATATTAGTTACTATGGCGGCCTTCCGCATCTGCGGTGGAAGGTGGCCGAGCTGCAGCGGTGTTTGTCGGACCATGAGACATCCCGAAAATCGGTCTTCTCATTAAAATGTCTGTAGAGTCTGAACGGTTTGTCCTACAAACTATTATGACCCCCACAAGTGTCACGGGACTCGTCTGAAGGTAACCCATACAAACTAATGGAAGTATGGAGGTAGTTTTGTGCCAACAAAATAAGGGATTAAATATGTGTCCAAAAAAAACTAAAATATTTCCTGAGCTTTCTTAACTCCTAGATATAGGACAGACGCTTCAAGACCTTATTCCTTATGATTTATTTTTTGACAATCTTTTTTGCCATTTATGAATGTGTTATTCAATGCGTTTCTATGGGCTAGTAGTAAAGGCCAAATTCAATATTTTATCTTTTAATCTTTTTTTTTATACCTAAAGTGTTCCTAAAATAAAAAAATCTAATAGCTAAATGATCCATGGTATGACCATCTTAAAACAATTCCATATGTTAGCTTAGCATATACCTTTCAGTCGTTGCGCTTTCGCTAGTTAGCAATTGCGGTAGCGCTGGTTAGCAACTTCCTTTAAACTGCACGCAGAGACTTAAAAATGGTATCCACAAGTTTATCTGACTCTGGGGAAGTAGATAAATGGCAAATTCCCCGAAGTACCCCTTTAACGTTATCAGCATGTCCTATAACAAGTGTGATGAATATACTGTTCAATCATGTTGTTTCTCTGCGGAATTCCCCAGACTTTTGACTTGACATTCACATGAATTAAATAAACTTTATTGATTCCCAAAGGGGAAATTTGATGTATTGGATGATTTGTGAACAACTTTTACCGCCGGCACTGTTTCTGACACCACATCACTGTTGTTTTCCCCCCTCAGGATGAGTACAGGGCAGAGGGCATCAGCTGGCACAACATCGACTACATCGACAACACAGGCTGCATCAACCTTATCAGCAAGAAGCCGACTGCGTTGCTCCATCTGCTGGATGAAGAGTGCAAGTACGTGAGCTGTCATGTCAAAGCCTTTCTCTTTTCTCCATCCTTTTTTGTACACCTCTGTCCTAGTTAAAGCAATACCTCAGGGCACATTCCTGCAATGTCACATTAAGATGTGTACTTTCTTAGCCAAAACCTAAATCTGCAGTAAAAAGGGTTTGTTCTTGAATGTCCTCAGGCTCCATAGAACATAGTAGTTGGGAAGGATTAAGCAGGGCTCAGAAGATGGTGCTGTTTATATACAGTCAGGTCCACAATTATTGTCACCTTGATAATGACCAAAAAATACTGGAAAATGTGATTATTATATACTAATACAATTGCTCAGAGAAAGAGATTTTGTTTAACAAGTAATAAAAAAGATAGGGGTCAAAATGATTGGCACCCCTGTTTTCAGTTTTCCAGAACCCCCCCCCCCCCTGTGAGAATAATGACACTAAGCCTTTTTCTAAAATGTTTTATGAGATTGGATAAACACATTGGGAGGGATCTTAGACCATTCCTCCTTACAGAATCTTTCCAGATCCTTGATATCCCCCCATACACAAAAATGTATGCACGCATGACTGTAAGTCGCTTTGGATAAAAGCGTCTGCTAAATGGCATATTATATATTATTATTATATATTATATATATCCTTTGTCTGCTCTTATGGACAGCCCTCTTCTATTCAAACCACATATTTTCAATGGGGTTCATGTCCAGAGACTGAGATGGCCTTTGCAAAATGTTGATTTTGTTTTGATGTGTGCTTGGGATTATGGTCTTGCTCGAAGATCTACTTGTGGCCAAGTGTCAGCCTCCTGGCAGAGGCAACCAGGTTGTTGGCTAAAATGTCCTGGTACTTGGTAAAGTTCATGATGCTGTTGACCTTAACAAGGGGGCCCCAGGACCAGCGGAAGCAAAATAGCCCCGTAACATCCAAGAACCACCACCATATTTTACCGTAGGTATGAGGTGCTTTTCTGCATATGCCTCAGTTTTTTGACAAAACATGCGGTTTGAATTGAATAGTGAACTCCATAGGCGCAGACGAAGGATATCTGGAAAGATTCTATATGGAGGAATGGCTTAAGATCCCTCCCAAAGTGTTCTCCAATCTCATAAAACATTTGAGAAAATAGGCTGTGTCATTATCCTTGCAAGGGAAGGGTGCTGGAGTATTGAAATCAAATCCAATTTTATTTGTCACATGCACCGAATGCAACGGGTTGTAGACTTTACTGTGGAATGCTAGCTTACGAGCCCTTCCCAATGATGCAGAGTTAACAGAAATAAGACATATAAAAATTTAAAATAGTAAATAAATGATGCCTTTTTACCCTCATCTTTTTTTGTATTACTTGTTGAACAAAATCTATTTTTCTGAGCAAATGTATTAGTATAAAATAATATCATTAAAAAAAAAAGAATCATTCAATATAGCTCAGTGTTGGTATTATTTATTTTATACAGTCTTTTTTGCTCATCTTTATCAAGGGTGCCAATCATTTTTAATCTGACTGTATGTCAAACTTCTTTAGAACAAAGCCAATATAAAACCAAGTTGGTTACATTGCTGGACTTTCACTCATTTATAGTGACCTTAGAGTCACCCTCCTTAGTCACCCCTTGAAAAAGAGACTCTGGGTCTCGATGGGCTTTTCCTGGTTAAATAAAGATTTAAAAAAATAAAATAAAAAATAATAAAGATTACAGACAAGATGTGGAATACAACAGACTCTCTTCATTACTAGTGAAATGCTTGATTGATTACGACGTTAGCCAGGCTAACTTAAGCACATCAAAATTATACTCATTCATACGTTTGCCTTTTTGGGGCACATGTACACTTTCGCTCACCCTTTTTAAAAGCCTCTCACACAGGCCACTTCACAATACCATCTCAATCCCACATACATTGAAGCCTCGCACACAAAAACACACAGGACCACCATGACTGTATTAGCCATGCTAAGCTAGCTAACCTAGCCTAACCTAGCTATTAGCGCTGCTAGCCACTTAGCTCTGAACACTGATCTGGATGTAATAAGAAGTGGATGGATGAGTGTGGATGGACTGCTTTCCCAGAGCCACAACGTCAAAATGGGATCTTTTTCCCCTCTTAAAGGCCTCCCTCCCGGGCCTCTCACGTGATTTATTTCATCACATGGAGGAACGCGATGCTTATCATTATGATTTCATCATTTATAGTTAGCTTTAGCTAGCTTGCGGTCTCTATCAGACTCTCTCTCAAGGATAGCATTTGTTTCCAGGGGCCCTACTACAGGTTACTCCATTTATAACGGGCCATTGAGGCGTTCTCTGACCCCAAGGGGAACTAGGATGTGTCATAGCCTCCGAGGCTTGTTTTAGTGAGTGGTGTGTAGTTTGCTTTAATAAGGAAGCACGCTACTTTGTACAGAGCAGAGGAGTCCCATAGCGTGCTTTAGCTAATGGCCGAAAGTTTGCGGCAATGTGTATGAGAAAAAAAGCTGATACCAATTTACCCCGGTATACCTTAGGATTATGTTTGGTCTACATTCCCCTACATATTTTATTGGATATTGAAGCTAAAACTGTTTATTTGGCTTTGAGTTCAAATGTTTCATATGAGGCGACAGAACAGAATGTCACCTTTTATTTGAGGGTATTTTCATACATAGCTGTTTTACTGTTTAGAAATGAAAGCACTTTATGTGCTGTATCTAGTCCCCCCATTTGAAGATGTCAAGTATTTGGAAAGATCACACACAAAGGTCATAACCCCAAGACATTCTACCTTCTCAGCATTACCAATAACAGGGGAGGTTACACTTTTGACTACTTTAATACACATATAAGTGAATTTGTCCAAATACTTACAACACCTTCAAATGGAGGGACTCTGTGATACATTTGAGCCAGATCCTGCCGGAACAGGATCTGGCACCTCTCCGTTTTGGACTGTTGCTCTGGAACCTATTTGGCCGGATCCGATACCTCTTGTGGCATCAAAAATAATTGTCACTTTTTGAATAAAAGCGATCAAAGTTCATTCTAGTTGCCTCTTTGTGAATTCTCCTGCACACCCCAAAAAATGTCATGTGAAAAAGTAGATTTTCAGCCCGGGCCTGATATTCTAAGAGTTAATTTGGGTTTGGTCCGGGTTTATGGTTCGCGCAACATTGTAACCTATGTTTGAGACCAACGCGTGGTCGTGGCTGTGTGAGATGCGCGCCTGTATCTCTAACAGAACTAGAATGAGATTCACTTTATATGATCTATCTCCCTCTCTCTGCTCTGATAGACATGAGCCTGCAACTCAATCTCTCCAGCGTTACACTTCATCATTTATTTCCTTTTAGAATCATAGGGTTCTGGGGGAGCACAGCACCCCTAATAAATTGAAATACATTTTCCAAAGTTATAGAATTACTGCTGGCTGTTCAGAAATTAATGAAATAATTCAGAATAGCCTACTACACCATGAGAAGGCCTATAAATTAGCCACAGAGGAGCAATAGCTTCTTTTTTTTAAATTGCCTAGCTGTGGATTGTGTGTAGCCCAATAACAGGACTTAGTTTACAGTCGGGAAGGTGCGGCAAATCTGTCAGTGAACAGCATGCAGAGAAAAGACTTTCGCAACATTTCAAATACACTCTCGGGAAAACACAGGTTGGAAAGCAAATAGCTCCTGCTGAAAAGAGAGAACTCTAATCTGTCTGCTGTAGGCTACCAACATTTTTGATCAACTTCCAAATATTGTTTTACAAAGTAAAAAAAACTATAATGAGAGAGGCTTTTGGCACGAACGAATCGGCCATCACCGGCAAGTGAGATGCGCATCATTGGGAGAGTCAGTGAAACTGAAAAGCATTTTTTGGACTATAATTTCCTCCTCATATTGTAGCCTACAATATGTTTCCACACACCTAGGCCTAGGCTATTGATGCATTCAAGACAAGGTTGTTTTTATTGTTCTCAGTTTGTCAGTGTCAAAGTAGCCTATAATTTTGTTCATTTTTGCAGTATTAAAAAAGATTCAGCCTAAGTCTCCAGTCATGTAAAATTACGTAGAATTGCATGAAATGCGTTAATAAAAGGCCACCTTTTTATTAGACCCTAGGCTACAAAAGCATTTCCCCATGTGGGTAACTTCTGCAAGTGCCTCTACTCTACTCTTCTATGCCACTATGCAAATGATATGCATGCAATGCTTTATTATAAATAAATAAAATGCTCATGCCCCCCCCCCCCCCCCCCCTTGTCCCTTTAGTTTCCCCCAGGCCTCTAACCAGACCCTGCTGGACAAGTTCAAGCGGCAGCACGAGGGGAACAGCTACATCGAGTTCCCCGCTGTCATGGAGTCCGCCTTCATCATCCGCCACTACGCCGGCAAGGTCAAATACGGGGTCAAGGTAAGGACTGCTGATGTGATTTCATGATGACAATGTGTCCGTAGATCGGTGTACTCATCTGTCAACCACACAACATTCTCAACAACAGGTCATGCCACATGTCAGCCTGTTTGTCAAAGTGTATGTCATTATTGACAGACACTGGCTTTGTTGACTGATGATTGGCCTTGACACAAGCCTGAATGTGCTACTGGGCCTCTAATAAAACCAATGAAATATTCTGTGCCAGAAAAAGTGTAACTAGGTGTGTAGCTAGATACTTCCCTTCAGAGAGAAACAATCCCAAATTCTCAGCAAAAGAAAATGACACAGCCGCAAAAAATGCATTCAAAGCTCAGTTATGACACTATGGTATTTGCCCGGAACTTGCACCATTCTTCCATTCTGTAAGTCATTCGTCAGACTACTCAAACATACACTGAGTGTACAAAACATTAGGAACACCTGCTCTTTCCATGACATTTTACATTTTTACATTTTAGTCATTTAGCAGATGCTCTTATCCAGAGAGACTTACAGTTAGTGAGTGCATAGATTTTCATACTGGCCCCCCGTGGGAAACGAACCCACAACCCTGGCGTTGCAAGCGCCATGCTCTACCAACTGAGTTACACGGGGGCCCATGGACTGACAGGGTGAATCCAGGTGAAAGCTATGATCCCTTATTGATATCACTTGTTAAATCCACTTCAATCAGTGTAGATGAAGGGGAGGAGACAGGTTAAAGAAGGATTTTTAAGCCTTGAGACAATTGAGTGAATGGGCAAGACAAACTATTTAAGTGCCTTTGAATGGGTATGGTAGTAGGTGCCAGGCGCACTGGTTTGAGTGTGTCAAGAACTGCAACGCTGCTGGGTTTTTCCCGCTCAACAGTTTCCTGTGTGTATCAAGAATGGTCCACCACCCAAAGGACATCTAGCGAACTTGACACAACTGTTGGACGCATTGGAGTCGACGTGGAATATGGAATGTTATCGACACCTTGTAGAGTCCATGCCCCGACGAATTGGGGCTGTTCTGAGGGAACTCAATATTAGAAAGTTGTTCTTAATGTTTTGTACGCTGAGTGTATAGTTACTGAAAGGAAACCAGTCCACTTGTTGTTCCATTGACCTGTTTTGCCATTTGAATCAGATTCACAGTCCAGTTCCCTGCTGTGTTTTGATATAAAGCTTTATATATGCTGGAGGTGATGATATTGTATATAGGCCCACCCATAACAGCTTTAACTGTAGATATGAAGCTCTCACATATCAGTTGGCAGCTACCCAGCATGTATGCTATTGTTGTTTGTGTGTGAGGTGTATGCAGTGTGAGTCAGATACATTAAACGTGTTAGTAACATGGTTGATAATTAACACAGCTGGCACATAAGAAGCCATGAGTGTAAAAACAGGGAGAGTACATGGAATTGTGCCTGTGCGTGCGACATCAGTGCTATTAAACAAATGTATTTATATTCCACCGCAGTGTTTCTTTGCATGCTCAAGTAAAGGGCCTAGTATTCTCTTGCACGATGATATGAAATATGAAAAAACTAATTGATGCTCTCTCCTTAAAGCCCTGCCTGGTGATATTCTTATTTCTAATTGGTCTATTAACATTAGTTTAATAGACCAATAAGAAAGAGAGTTCCAAACTTCTCTGCCAATAACAGCTATTTTTCAGTTTTCCCCTCCCCACTCAGACCACTCCCAGACAGTCCTAGCTAAATTCTTGCTTGAGAAATTGCTCTTTGCTAAGCAATTTGTTTCTTTTTGACTATTTTAAATTAAAACAAACAATCCAGAGTGAGGTACTTAATTATTACCCAGAAATGATTTGATATTGAGGAAAAAACTGCTGCATTGGACTTTTAAACAAGGACACATTTGCACTCGGTTTTGGTTTCGAGCTCGTAAGTGGTCCATAATATCGTCATTACCACGAGTGTCATAGTTCTCACACATAAAGCGTAGCTAATTACGTTGCTAAATGCTAGCCAGTTCAATCCACCTCAGAGCCATCCCCTCCATTGGGTATATTAGTTGGTTCATAGATTTAGTAGCTCATAGATTTACAGTTAGTAGAACGAACACCCAAGTGTTCAATTAATAGATGCTTACCATTAACAGTTTTACTTTAAGTTCTTAACATTTTCGTACTGGTAATTCCACTGGTACAGTATGGTGTAGCTCATGTCTATTATCTGTATATCTATAGTTGATCCAGTTGATAGATCTCATCTGTATACTATCTTCCGCCCCCCCTACAGGACTTCAGGGAGAAGAACACGGATCACATGCGTCCGGACATCGTGGCCCTGTTGAAGAGCAGTAAGAACGCCTTCATCTGTGGCCTGATGGGCATTGACCCCGTGGCTACCTTCCGCTGGGCCGTGCTCAGAGCCTACTTCAGAGCCATGGTGGCCTTCAGGGAGGCCGGGAAGAGACACACTGACAAAAAGACTGGTGAGACTAGGGCTGTTAAGGTGACCGTATTACCGCCACACCTGCGGTCACGAGTCATGACGGTAGTCAAATTCCACGTGACCATTTAGTCACGGTAATTAGGCTTCTCCAAGCTCTGATGCTGCTGATGGTCTTGGTAGCCTACCAAACTTGCTAACTGCCTGGTACTCAGCACTCTATTGTCCCTCTAATCACTCTGACATCAATGCAAATGTGATCGAAAATCTAATCAAACACTTCATGAGAGTCCATGAGCTCATGTTGCGCAATATTTCTATAGGCTATGCAATTGCGTGAGAAAACAGAGTGATGGCCTCTATTAAAAAGAGGAGGATCCCATCAGTTTTCTATAGGCTAGGCCTAATTTATTTATTTATCAACTTTCCAAATATTAAGCACTAGTGGCGATTTTAGCATGTCAATCTTGGTGTCGCAAACATAACAAAAACAATTGGGATGAATGCCAGCAAAGTCACAACACAACACAACACTAAACAATACATTAATTGCACTAAAATGGTGACAAACGGTTCCCACAAACAGAGCTTTCTTTTCAGCACCATGGAGTGAATCCTTACCACTGCTACACCTGTTTCTGACAGCGAAACAGTTCATTAAGCCTCATTAAAAAAAAAAAACATAGCTGATATGGCTGACTTGCTTAAACAAATGTGGTTTCTACTGACAATTGAGATGTACAAACTATGGCATAAGGGGACGACGAGCGGATAAGAGGCAATCCGTAATTTCGATTAAGACATTAATGAGCGAGCTAGGACGGATGTAGTCTATATAACTATTTGTTCAGCACTTTTGAAATGTACAGCGACATAATTCAGAACATGGGCCGTTCTTACAGTATTGTCCCTGTACACCAAGTCAGAACCGTAGGATAAATAAAGGGGGCATATAAGCAGACAATGAAAGCTCTTACAATATTCAATGATTACATTTCTCTAAAACAGGCTATAGGCTACATGTGCACCACCAAGAGAACAGTAGGCTAAGTTATGAGGGGGAAAGGGACCAAATTATTAGGGTGAGGCACATGGGCTACTAACAACTTACTACACAACATACACTTAGTATTACTTTCTTAGCTACAGTATACATATCTCCCTGGCATATTACATCATTTATGCAGCACATACAAGACAGTTTTGGACTCACCTTGTTGTGCTGTGCTTACTTGAACAGGAAGATGGCGCGGCGGTCCTTGTTGGCAAATTCTGTAATCAAAGTCTGGCATTTTCTGGATTTATGGTGCTTTCAAGACAACTGGGAACTCTGAAAAAAAACAAGGTTGAATCATGACGTCAGTGATCTTCAGGTCGGAACTCTAGAAAGAAGCCAGATTGCCCGACCTGGAATTCCGAATTGGATGACTGTTCAAAATGTATTTTCCCAGTCGGAGCTAGTTTTTTTCTGAGTTCCCCGTTGTCTTGAACTCACTGAAGTCTGAGATTTCCCAGTTCCGTGTTTCCAGTTGTTCTGAACGCGGCAGAAGTCATGCTGGATTGAAAGAATGGCCAATGTATTAAATCTTTTCTGGCCCATTGTGTTGCATGTGAATGTTTATCCTTTGGAAAAGAGACCCTTAAACCCAGACTTGGACCACACACCCACTCCACTGAATAGCAGGCTAGTGCCCTTTTTTTGTGTGTCATTTAGCAGATGCTCTTATCCAGAGCGACTTACAGCAGTAATTAGGGTTAAGTGCCTTGCTCAAGGGCACATCGACAGATTTTTCACCTAGTCGGCTCGGGAATTAGAACCAGCGACCTTTCAGTTACTGGCACAACGCTCTTAACCACTAAGCTACCTGCTGCTCAATTGATTCCTTCCAAACCACTCATTGTTGAATATGCGATTTCCAACTTGTTGTGTAATGTTCATTTCCAATGGCCAATGAGCACCGACACGCTTTATCTATAATTTCGCTTCATATGACAAGGATTGAAAATAATTTGCCAGTAGATTGTCGACTTGATTCATAATGATGACCTCTTGTCTAGCTTGCTAGCTAAGATTTTGAAAGTATGATGTTGATATGATCAGTCCAATCAAAGCTATGGTAGATATAACCTGATTTGACGTCATTTTATCTGTGGCCAATGACCTTGAGCCTTCTTGGATGGGCACTTCTAATGTAACACTATGGCAGCACCCAAGGGGCTTGAATTTTCGAGCTCTCCCCGTAGATTTTGCGGTGAGGTAGTGTGCCCATGAGTGACAGAACACTGAGCCAATCACGGCGCAACTAGAGAACATTACCAACCCCTATGCTCAGTATTTTCCGCTGGCTGCCCCACCACCACAGAAAGCACTGAGCTAGGCTGAAACACCTGCATTTGGGAGCTTCCTTACTCAAGAAAGCAAAAAAGAGACCATGTTTGTATGCGGCTTTATTAACTTAATTATTCTTCTTTTTTTTTACATTGTTTGCAAACTGATACAGTTGAAGTCGGAAGTTTACATACACCTTAGCCGAATACATTTAAACTCAGTTTTTCACAATTCCTGACATTTAATCCTAGTAAAAATTCCCTGTATTAGGTCAGTTAGGATCACCACTTTATTTTAAGAATGTGAAATGTCAGAATAATAGTAGAGAGAATGATTTATTTAAGCTTTTATTTCTTTCATCACATTCCCAGTGGGTCAGAAGTTTACATACACTCAATTAGTATTTGGTAGCATTGCCTTTAAATTGTTTAACTTGGGTCAAACGTTTCGGGTAGCCTCCCACAAGCTTCCCACAATAAGTTGGGTGAATTTTGGCCCATTCCGCCTGACAGAGCTGGTGTAACTGAGTCAGGTTTGTAGGCCTCCTTGCTCGCACACGCTTTTTCAGTTCTGCCCACAAATGTTCTATAGGATTGAGGTCAGGGCTTTGTGATGGCCACTCCAATACCTTGACTTTGTTGTCCTTAAGCCATTTTGTCACAACTTTGGAAGTATGCTTGGGGTCATTGTCCATTTGGAAGACCCATTTGCGACCAAGCTTTAACTTCCTGACTGATGTCTTGAGATGTTGCTTCAATATATCTACATAATTTTCCTTCCTTATGATGCCATCTATTTTGTGAAGTGCAACAGACTCTCCTGCAGCAAAGCACCCCCACAGCATGATGCTGCCACCCCCGTGCTTCACGGTTGAGATGGTGTTTTTCGGCTTGCAAGCACCACCCTTTTTCCTCCAAACATAACGATGGTCATTATGGCCAAACAGTTATATTTTTGTTTCATCAGACCAGAGGACATTTCTCCAAAAAGTACGATCTTTGTCCCCATGTGCAGTTGCAAACCGTAGTCTGGCTTTTTTATGGCAGTTTTGGAGCAGTGGCTTCTTCCTTGCTGAGCGGCCTTTCAGGTTATGTCGATATAGGACTCGTTTTACTGTGGATATAGATACTTTTGTACCTGTTTCCTCCAGCATCTTCACAAGGTCCTTTGCTGTTGTTCTGGGATTGATTTGCACTTTTCGCACCAAAGTACGTTCATCTCTAGGAGACCGAACGCATCTCCTTCCTGAGCGGTATGACGGCTGTGTGGTCCCATGGTGTTTATACTTGCGTACTATTGTTTGTACAGATGAATGTGGTACCTTCAGGCATTTGGAAATTGCTCCCAAGGATGAACCAGACTTGTGGAGGTCTACACATTTTTTTCTGAGGTCCTGGCTGATTTCTTTAGATTTTCCCATGATGTCAAGCAAAGAGGCACTGAGTTTGAAGGTAGGCCTTGAAATACATCCACAGGTACACCTCCAATTTACTCAAATGATGTCAATTAGCCTATCAGAAGCTTCTAAAGCCATGACATCATTTTCTGGAATTTTCCAAGCTGTTTAAAGGCACAGTCAACTTAGTGTATGTAAACTTCTGACCCTCTGGAACAGTGAATTATAAGTGAAATAATCTGTCTGTAAACAATTGTTGGAAAAATGACCTGTGTCCTAACCGACTTTCCAAAACTATAGTTTAACAAGAGATTTGTGGAGTGGTTGAAAAACAAGTTTTAATGACTCCAACCTAAGTGTATGTGTATGTAAACCTCCGACTTCAACTATATGTGACACGTATTAATGCCAAAATAACATGCAAAATGTTTTAGATATATTTTGTATGCTAAACAGATGGGGGCTCAAAACAGGTGGGGCTCTGTCCTGAATGAAGGGTTGCCACTGTTAAGCTCACTGCTTCGCTTTACAACAGGAGTATAGCCTGGCTTGTATGAAAATGAACCCTTTTCTGAGACATTTCTATAGGCTATGCTATGTAATTGCGTGAGAAAACAGAGTTTTGATGGCCTATTAAAAGGAGGAGGATCCCATCAGCTTTCTATAGGCCTACTATATTTATTTCTCAACTTTCCTAATATTAAGCACATTGCTTCTCTTTACAACAGGAGTATAGCCTACCTGGCTGGCATGAAAATGAACCATGGAAAAAGCATCCTGCATTCACAATTTAAGTGCATAGATGACATGTCTTTTTTTCCCCTGCCCCTGTTTCGAGACAGGTGTATGATAATGGTCCATTCTAAATCAAAACAAATATCACACATATATTATTTAATATATGTAAAGACAACATTAAATTAAGAATAGTCTGATGGGTGACAATATTAGCCTATGACTTGTGAATGATGTATTATCACTTGTGAATGATGCCCAGCTTGTGCATTAAGGCAAGAAACGGCGCATACCTTTTTTTTTTCTCTCAACTTTTTCAAAACATAGTCGCACACCTCATGTATCCTAGCCCATAGGCCTATATTTTTTGATAAGGTTTGTATCACAACTAAAGTGTCCAAGAAACGTAATCCGTTTTTTATAACCAGTGTAGAGCCTAACTGGCATACATAGGCTGCACATGAGTTTCAAGTTTGGGGAAGATCATTTTCACCATAGAAATTCACCTTTATAATTACATTTTTATTACATTTTTAGTCATTTAGCAGACGCTCTTATCCAGAGCGACTTACAGTTAGTGAGTGCATAACATTTTTTTTCTTCATATTAAAGCATTACATGCATAATCACATTTGCCATCACTTTCGAGAACAGTGTTTTCCCGCTAATTGATTGCATTTTGGAACATTAGCTCTCATAGCCTACTGCCATGCATATTGCTGCACTCATAATGTGAAAAAATTGCCTGATAGTTTATCAACATTTTAAGCTAAACGATCAGCCTCATTGCTTTTAAAAGGTTTTTTGATGCGAGTGGTTGTATTAATTTGGGATCTATCGCATCCCACAACTGTCCCAGAGTATGTTTTGAATATTTATTTGTTACACAGAAGGATAGAATAGGTCAACTTTTGTACTGTTGGGGATAGTAGATTGACATAGGCTAGTGCTTTTGCTGTTCGTTAGGCCTACTCATCTTGTTGGCTGACGAAATGTAGGCTAAATGTGGACAGTTCTAACATCTACAATATGCGCCTCGGAATTCGATAAGAGGGACGTGCCCAGGTGCGTCACCGATGTGGCTCTCTTCTTTCAATTGTAACCTACTTAGCTGAAATGCCTGTGAGAAGGACCCGATCACGTGATGGGCATTGGCTACATCTGAGCGAGCCATGTGAGTGAGAGTTGCTTCGGAGCGCGGCAGCCGGGAGAAGGGAATTTTAATTAGCCTATTATATTCAGCCTAAGAGCACAATGCCCACTTTGGCCGCAAAAGGCATGGATTTTTTAGGGGGCATTACGGCCACACAAGGGTGATGCCGCCAGGAAATTCGAGGCCTGGTGAGACTATTATCAAGTGCTTGTCAAAGTCCCATCATGCAGCCTTAGAATGTATTAAACATCAAAACATATAGCCCAACGTTTGTATCACAACTAAAGTTGCATAAATAACTCTAAATTAAGCATATAGGACCTGTTTCTTTGTAAACCACTCAACACAGAATAGGCGCATGTGCGCACTTCCTTTGAAATCGTTTGGAGAAAATATCCTTTCAATCTATTAAGGTATGTTCAATTGTATTCATCATACTTTAAAAATAATGCCACGGAATTCTAAGCAAATCCTGTCTGCTAAATGAACTAGTGTAGCCCACAGCCACATGGCATAGCATACTCAGAGTATGCTATTCTGTTCTTCTGAAATAGACAACATTTTCTTCATATCATGTTTCTTTAGACCAGTGTAGGCTATATTACATGGATTTATTAGACTTTTTAAAATGTAGATGTTCCAAAGGTCTGCATCAGTGGCTTGTAGGCTATGTGTGGAAGCCAGGAGATGCTAAACGTATTTATGCTAATTAACAGTAAATTACCATGAGACCGGCAGTTATTTGCTTGACAGTCACCAGCTGACAAAACGTAATGACCACCACAGCCCTTAGACTGCTCGTGTACATCAACATAAACACACACGTATGTGTATATACTCAGTCAAACACACACACACACATACTCTTGGACATACACTTGTACACTCTCCCAGACACACACACACTCACCCCTCTTCCACAGTGACAGAGAGCCATACTCTGAAGCTTCTCGTGATGTGAATTGTCTCCCCCCAGAGCTACCACAGTACAGTATATTTCCCTCAGTGGGGTGTCAGAAATAGCAACTGCTGAAATATGTGACCTTTCTCCAGGGTTGCTCCCAAGGGATTTTTTTTGCCACATAATGTGTTTCTCCTGATCCTTCTCCGCCGTTAGACTAGCTTGATTTCACAACCCCCGAAGTCTATTCCATTATTCATCGCCATGGAGACACTGGCAAGGCAGCATCCTGGAGGTTGAGAGTTTTAGGGGGACAAACCCGACCACTGATTATGCATGGGCTGCTACTTTCCCCCATCATCACTGAACTTCCACATAAGGCTTCATCTCCAACCAGTTACATGACATTCAGTCAAACTTTTTGTAAACTTAACACACACTATTTCTTCCTCTCTAATTTCTCTATCTCTCTTTCTATCTGTCTGTACCTCTCTCTCTCTCTCTCTCTCTCTCTCTCTCTCTCTCTCTCTCTCTCTCTCTCTCTCTCTCTCTCTCTCTCACAGGGAATGATGCTGCTGTACCATGTGTCGTCAAGAGCGTGGACAGCTTCAGCTTCCTCCACCACCCTGTGCACCAGAGGAGCCTGGAGATCTTGCAGAGATGCAAAGATGAGAAATACAGTAAGAAACTCCCACAATCCTCTTTGCTGCCCAACTCACTTTTCCTGGGGCTTACAAATAAGGAAGGGAACAATTAGCTTGTTCTGAATTAACTTGTTTTCCCTAAATTAAAGGCCCACTCAGATATTTACAGCGTTTTTGATCATTTAACATGTAACCAATATATTTAGTTCAGATGTAGTACCACCCTCTTTCTTTCAACCTTCCGTTCTAGTCAGGTCAAACCATACAAAGCATCACTTTCATATTTTATTGCCAAATTCACAGAGGTCAAATATTTAATAATAAACAGGTCTGCAACAATTTTTGGCCTCGACAAGAAAATAGCATTGCTATCACTAATAAGTCATTGGAACTCAGACTTGGATCCTCTTACTTAATAAGGCACTGTTGAGCTATTTGCCCTGTAATAGTCATCGTAACGAAGCTGTTTCTCATGCATGATCACTGGCACACATACGCACTGAAATAGACCTTATGGCAGTGTGTTTAATAAGCACTGTGAGTTACTGTTTCCTCCTTCCTCTGTTGTTCCATTTTCCTCCATCCTCAGGGGCTTCGCTGCCGGTTCAGAGACAGACTGACAATAGCCTGGACCCTGTCACTGGTGTGTGTGTGTGTGTGTGTGTGTGTGTGTGTGTGTGCGTGTGTGCATGTACATGCACTTGTGTGTGTGTGTGTGTGTGTGTGTGTGTGCATGTACATGCACTTGTGTGTGTGTGTGTGTGTGTGTGTGTGTGTGCATGTACATGCACTTGTGTGTGTGTGTGTGTGTGTGTGTGTGTGTGTGTCTGCATGCATGTATGTGTTCCAAATGTCATAGCACTTTCATGATGGACACACAAGTCAAACTGAATCCAATGCGCAACAGCCTCAGTCTCTTAAATGGATCATCCCTGAGGGAAATGTGTATAGAACAATGGACAGTTAAAGTATTCAGTGAGCTTCCAAGCCTCCAAACCATGCAGCTTATCTCAAATGTTCAATGTGAAATACAGTTACGCCTCATGCCCATGGGGAACTCCGGAGCCGATATCTCTCATTCCCCATTATCTGGCCTTTTAAAGCATGGCAGGGGAGACCTGCTGGGAAATCAAAGACCATTAAGAGAGAGGAGAGTTGAGACGAGAGGGAGGGAGTGCACATATCTGTCCTCATCAGGCCTTTGGTCTTTGGGGAAAGGGGGGGTGGTTGTGGCTGAAAACTGTTTAGGAAATGAGGGGCTGGCAGTGCAGTGCCTTTAATCACGCACACATGTGTCTTGGTGGCTTGACTGATAGTGGCCCAATATGAATTAAGCAATACATTAGCCAATGATATGGACTGAATAGACAGACGTTCATTGTACAGTGAGGGGAAAAAAGTATTTGATCCCCTGCTGATTTTGTACGTTTGCCCACTGACAAAGAAATGATCAGTCTATAATTTTAATGGTAGGTTTATTTGAACAGTAAGAGACAGAATAACAACAAAAAAATCCAGAAAAAAGCATGTCAAAAATGTTATAAATTGATTTGCATTTTAATGAGGGAATTATTGACACATCCTCTCTCTCTCTTTCTCGCTCTCCCTCCTCCCTTACATCACGGTCTCGTACAGGTATCACTAGAAAGAATCCCCGGACCCCCTTGTCAGACCTCCAAGGCACCAACACACTGAACGAGAAATCCGCCAGGTATGAACCTGGCTGTCACACTGTTTTATGGACACTCAAAGCAATGAGCTGTTCTGCTTTCAGTGTGTGATTGTACAGTATATGCTACAGCAATTCACTCTCTCTCTCTCTCTCTCTTTCCCTCTCTCTCTCTGTCTTTGTCTGTCTCTCTCTTTTTCCTCTAGGGATGGTTATGGTGTGGGCTGTAACGGGCGTAGCTCCATACAGGGTCGTCTGTCCTCCTCAGGCTCGGAATTCGATGACGGCATCTTCGTCAACTCCAATAGCAGCAAGCTCCTGGAGAGAGCACAGGGCATCCTCATGTGAGTATGACCACAAAGTCTGACCACGCACACTTAAACTATGATCAGCCGGTGTTCAATCCACGCTCAATGTGTGTTCATACGATATGATTCTCCTGGGGAGAGCACAGGGCGTCCTCATGTGAGGATGACCAGTCTGCCCATCATCATGCAGCTCGCACCATGGTCAGAAACCGTGGTCAGGCAGTGGTCAATCCATGGTCAATGTGTGTTTATACTGTATGTTCATTCTGTAATATATCTGACAACCAATCTCTCTCCCACAGGCGGAACAAAAACTATAAGTCCAAGCCCAGCCTACCAAAGGTAAGGTCCTTACAATTTTTACACCGTGAAAGTACAAGTGAGAATTTCTCTATGGTTTCAACATGACAAAAGGCCAATAGTGGAGGATTACAGTAGGGGTATTCAACCTGCGGTCCGCGAAAAAAAAAAAAAAAATGTATATGGAAAAAAAAGTGGACAATTATTATTTGTTATGAATATCGCTAGCAACAACAGAAGAAACAACAGAAGAAACAAATGTTGAATTACATACCTTAAGTAAAAAATAGCAGAATGTTTTATTTATAATGTCAACTTTTATTTATTTCTCAACTCCTAATATTGAGCAAATTGGAGCTAATTACACTCACTGGAGTCACAGTAATCTTTGCCAACACATGGCTAACCTTTGTTTAACAAGCTAAATAGGTGCTATTAGCGAAAAGTGTTTGGAATTACGGCACCTTTCTAGCTAATAGGCTATGTTATTCCTCCAATTATAATGTGGGAAGGTCATGAAAAAAATAACTATCAAATCTATTCATTTTTAAATGTTGATTATCCTATTTCTCCTTGCCATTATCATTAACCTGATGATAAGACAAGACAAGACATGCTGACATGATATGATGGGGGTTGCCGGTTTGCCTGAGTGGGGGTACCTAGGCAAGAAAAAGTTGAAGACCCCTTGATTACAGCACTGCAGTGAAATTACAGAGCTTATAGCTGAAATCCGTTTGCGATATTACAACAACAAAGAAGTTACTTCGAACAACAAACACTGATTTTTATTTTTTATCTGACAGCATTGCATGCCGATAGAACACCAGAATATGTACAGTAGCAGTCAAAAGTTTGGACACCTCCTCATTCAAGGGTTTTTCTTTATTTTTACTCTTTTCTACGTTGTAGAATAACCGTGAAGACATCAAAACTATGAAATAACACATATGGAATCATGTAGTAACCAAAAAAGTGTTAAACAAATCAAAATATATTTGAGATTCTTCAAAGTAGCCATCATTTGCCTTGATGACAGCTTTGCACACTCTTGGCATTCTCTCAACCAGCTTCACCTGGAATACTTTTCCAACATTCTTGAAGGAGTGCCCACATATGCTGAGCACTTGTTGGCTGTTTTTCCTTCACTCTGCGGTCCAACTCATCCCAAACCATCTCAATTGGGCTGAGGTCGGGTGATTGTGGAGGCCAGGTCATCTGATGCAGCACTTCATCATTCTCCTTCTTGGTCAAATAGCCCTTACACAGCCTGGAGGTGTGTTGGGTCATTGTTCTGTTGAAAAACAAATGATAGTCCCATTAAGCCCAAACCAGATGGGATGGCGTATCGCTGCAGAATGCTGTGGTAGCCATGCTGGTTAAGTGTGCCTTGAATTCTAAATACATCACAGACCGTGTCACCAGCAAAGCACCCCCACACCATAACACCTCCTCCTCCATGCTTTACGGTGGGAACTACACATGCAGAGATCATCCGTTCACCCACACCACGTCTCACAAAGGTTGGAGACAAAAATCTCAAATTTGGACTCCAGACCAAAGGACAAATTTCCACCGGTCTAATGTCCATTGCTCGTGTTTCTTGGCCCAAGCAGGTCTCTTCTTCTTATTGGTGTCCTTTAGTAGTGGTTTCTTTGCAGCAATTCGACCATGAAGGCCTGATTCACACAGTCTCCTCTGAACAGTTGATGTTGAGATGTGTCTGTGACTTGAACTCTGTGAAGCATTTATTTGGGCTGCAATTTCTGAGGCTGGTAACTCTAATGAACTTATCCTCTATGGCAGACGTAACTCTGGTTCTTCCATTCCTGTGGCGGTCCTCATGAGAGCCAGTTTCATCATAGCGCTTGATGGTTTTACTTTAAGACCTTCATGTCTTATAGCAATGATGGACTGTCATTTCTCTTTGCTTATTTGAGCTGTTCTTGCCATAATATGGACTTTTACCAACTAGGGCTATATTCTGTATACCCTCCTACCTTGTCACAACACAACTGATTGGCTCAAATGCATTAAGAAGGAAAAAAAATTCCACAAATTAACTTTTAAGAAGGCACACCTGTTAATTAAAATGCATTCCAGGTGACTACCTCATGAAGCTGGTTGAGAGAATGCCAAGAGTGTGCAAAGCTGTCATCAAGGCAAACGGTGGCTATTTGAAAAATCTGAAATATAAAATATATTTTGATATATTTCATCGTTTTCATGTCTTCACTATTATTCTACAATGTAAAAATAAAGAAAAACCCTTGAATGAGTAGGTGTGTCCAAACTTTTGACTGGTAGTGTACTGCAACTTTTTTTACCACGATACTGGATACTCCTTTTTTTTTCATCAACAAAACAAAAACAATGACAAAGATGAACTGTGGCGTTGTTTCCCCCTTTACCCAGTTCAGCTTTAATGGTGACAAGCATAGCTGGACAGTAACAGTTGGCCATAGAAGTATACGTCTTTGAATTATTTTGAAGACAATATTGTCCATTATCATGCAATGAATGGAAATTAAACAGTATGTCATTGTCATGTGACCATGTTCATACGTTTAAATTTTTTAAGAAATTGGATAAAAGCGCCTGCTAAAATTGTAAGTTTTTTAAATACAAAATATGAATAATCTGACCGTGTTCCTATGGCGGTTCCTCTCTCTGTACAGCACCTGCTGGACGTGAAGTCTCTGAGGTACCTGAGTAGTGTGACCCTACACGACCGCATCACCAAGTCCCTCCTCCACCTGCACAAGAAGAAGAAACCGCCCAGCATCAGCGCCCAGTTCCAGGTAAGACTCAGTTTCTTGCTCGCCCTCTAGAAGTCTTTCATCTCTTCCCAGCCGTGACACCAATGCCCAAATCCAAACTCCAACACTCAGCTCCTACATATTTTGAGGCACTTTGTGTAGATCTTAAAGAATTGGACAGGTGTCAAAATATATGTATATAAATGAAACATTTACTTAAAGTGCATTTCTCAAAAAATGGCACAGGAATTATCTCAGATCTGCATCATGTGTAGTGGGCAAGAGGTTGATTTGGAATTAACATGAATCTACTATAATAAATAACATGAGCTTTAATAATGCCAGGTTTTATGCAATTTATTGTGAGATGTTAATTATGAGATGCCAATATGATGGGATGCTAATGCTTGTTGTGTTAATTCATTGCTGTGCTAATGAGCTAATGCTAATTGTCTCTTGCTGTGTGAAGGCCTCCCTGAACAAGCTGATGGAGACCCTGGGTCAGTCGGAGCCCTACTTTGTCAAGTGTGTCCGCTCCAATGCAGAGAAGGTATGTTCAGCTAACAGCTACTGTAGTTACAGCTACTTCAGTTTGGTTAGATGCTAATGTAACTACTGACAAGCTCCACTGAACAATGAAACCACTGGACAAACCAATGTCTGGTAATTGCATAGCCCGTTATAGTCAATTATACAATGTTTTACTGTTATTGGGTGATTTTAAATCTCTCTTTTTGTCTATTGTACCTCTTCTTTCATGCCTTTTATTTCTGTCTCCTTCCTTCTTTCTTTGGATATTTCTCTCGCTCGCTCTCTATCTCTTTCCTTCTCTCTTTCTCTCTTTCTCTCTCTCTCTCTCTCTCTCTCTCTCTCTCTGCTCTCTCTCTCTCTGCTCTCTCTCTGCTCTCTCTCTTCTCTCTCTCTTCTCTCTCTCTCTGCTCTCTCTCTCTCTCTCTCACTCAGCTCCCACTGCGTTTCAACGATGCCCTGGTGCTCAGGCAGCTGAGGTACACAGGCATGCTGGAGACCGTCCGCATCCGCCAATCAGGATACGCCATCAAATACACCTTCCAGGTAAGCCCTCACCAACCAATCAGGATACAGCACTGTCATTTGCACAGACAGATACACACACCTGATACACAACACTGTTTATTACCTACCTTAGTTGAATGCACTGACTGCAATTCGCTCTAGATAAGAGTATCTGCTAAATGACTTAAATGTAAAAAGTACTGATCAATGGTCATCATTCTCATCATTCAGAGTCTCAATGAACTGCATGTAGATTTGGTGATGTCACATCCATGCACTTGTAATGTAGTCAGTCTTATTAACAGCTTGTAACTTTTATCCCTTTGAGGTTACTATTGATATGTTATCTTTCGTCTTGTCATTGCAGGACTTTGTTTGTCACTTCCGTGTGCTCTTACCAGACAGCACTAGACCAACCAAGTCTGGCATCCGGGAGTTCTTTCGTCAGGTTCACCTAGCACCTGCTGGGTATCAAGTGGGCAACACAATGGTACGCATTCTGGGGATACCCCTTTTCTTTAGTTGTCTCTATTTTTCTTTCTCAGTCTTCCCCCCCCACCCCCCCCCCCCCCCTCTCTCTCTCTCTCTCTCTCTCTCTCTCTCTCTCTCTCTCTCTCTCGCTTTGATACACGGTTGCATTGCGGCCGTTCTATTCCTATTGAATTTCCCTGTGTGTCTGGTCACTTGTGGGTGTGTCTGGTCACTGACGGCACCCCCACCCCGTGTCTCTCTCTGTACTGCAGGTGTTCCTGCGCGAGGCGGAGCGGCAGCGGCTGCAGGCCCTGCTCCACACGGAGGTGTTACGGCGCATCGTCACGCTGCAACGCCGCTTCCGAGCCCGGCTGGAGAGGAAACACTTCATCAGGATGAGACAGGCCGCCGATGTCATCCAGGTGAGACGACGAAGTCAGGGCACCACACCAAGTCGGTGTCCAGGGTTGTGTGCATTAGGGCACACCATAGCAAAATATTTTGCAGCGGAAAACAAAATGAGCATTTCTTATTGGACAACTCTAAGTAGTCCCTCCCTGAATGAACACGACCCTGTTACTGTACTGGCATAACAGACTAAAGCATGTGTGCACATAACTTCCCTGCACAGCTTTACACTAATTTTTTAGGAGTTTGTAGTAGTACCATTCTACGTGACCCACAGACATAGACAATTGGTCGTAACCAGCTTAGGTTATTGCGTAACTCTGGAGAGTAAGTAGAACATCTCTTTGGAGTTGTGTAGTGACCCAGGGCAGTAGCCAGTAGGGACTCAGACCTGAGAATCTCTACACTTCTCCTCATGCTCCATCTATAAGGAAGAGGGGGAAATTGCAGAAATACATTACAAACTTTTCTGGAAGCCATATTGTTTCTGGAAGAGATACTTGGCTACAAGAAGAGACTCAGTCTGCTGTCCAAATCATTGTCAGATTGAACAAAAACAAACCTAATCCATATTTCTTACCTCGAAAGGATTCTCAACACTACTCCAAAACTCTAAAACAGCTTACATGCAATTAATTCTAACTTAATGCAACGATATCACCCCAGTCAATAAATGTTCTCTGTTTTTACCAAAAATATGACTTTATACTTGAATTCACTTTGTTAATTCATATTTCTTCATTCTCTCCTCTCCATAGCGGTGGTGGCGGGGCTGCCTGCTCGAACAGTTGGAGGCTGCAGTGGACCCAGCCGTCCAGGAGGAGGCAGCAGTGTGCCTGCAGGCAGCGTGGAAGGGCTACAGGGAGCGCAGGCTATTCCTGCAGTGGCAGGACTCTGCCCTGATAATACAGAGGAGCTGGAGAAACAGCAGCCAGCGAAGGGCTCTGGCAGCCATTACGGTGCAGACAGCCTGGCGGGCTTACAGAGAGAGAGCCCACTATTGTAGGACACACAGTGCAGTGACAATGCTACAGGCAGCGGGTAGGGGCTACCTGGCACGCCTAAGGTAACTAGGACTGACAAACTTTAATATGTTATGAAAGGTACAGGTAACTGCCAAAAATAAAGGAAACATTTGAGTAAATGAGGGAAACAAAGTACACTACATGACCAAAAGTATGCGGACACCTGCTCGTCAAACATCTCATTCCAAAATCATGGGCATTAATATGGAGTTGGTCCCTCCTTTGCTGCTATAACAGCCTCCACTCTTCTGGGAAGGCTTTCCATTAGATGTTAGAACATTTCTGCGGGGACTTGCTTCCATTCAACGTCAAGCGTTATTGAGGTCGGGCACTTATATTGGGAGATCAGGCCTGGCTTTCAGTCGGTGTTCCAATTCATCCCAAAGGTGTTTGATGGGGTTGAGGTCAGGGCTCTGTGCAGGCCAGTCAAGTTCTTCCACACCGATCTCAACAAACCATTTCTGTATGGACCTCGCTTTGTGCACAGGGGCATTGTCATGCTCAAACAGGAAATGGCCTTCCCCAAATTTTTGCCACAAAGTTGGAAGCACAGAATTGTCTAGAATGTCATTGTATGCTGTAGCCTTAAGATTTCCCTTCACTGGAACTAAGGGGCCTAACCCGAACCATGAAAAACAGCCCAGACCACTATTCCTCCTCCACCAAACTTTACGGTTGGCACTATGCAATGGGGCAGGTAGCGTTCTCCTGGCATCTGCCAAACCCAGATTCGTCTGTCGGACTGCCAGATGGTGAAGCGTGATTCATCACTCCAGAGAACGTGTTTCCACTGCTCCAGCGTCCAATGGCGGCGAGCTTTACACCACTCCAGCCGACGCTTGGCAATTAATATCCCATCATGCTTAGTTAGGGTCAATGTTCCCTCTAATTGTTTTCGGCACTGAGTCGTGCCTGTCAATGCAATAGAATCCTACTCCGAGGCGCTCTGCCTACAACAAAATCTCTTGCATAGTTCGTTTTGCATACCAAGTCTTGCATAGTTCGTTTTCTTTTGGTATGTTGCATTGAAAGTGGCTAATATTGCGTTGATTCAATCACAATTCCCACAGTGAAGGGAAACGTTGATAGTGTTAACTAACGGGAAAAACTATCGAAAGTTGAGTGAAGTTCAATCTCGTGCTTCTCTGCGCGGGCTGATATTTCTTCTGTACGGCAGTCCCGGGGGTGCTGCACGCCCGCTTGCAGATTTGAGGGAACATTGCTTAGGGTCATGTATAAAAATGCCCAGTTGCCCATTATTTTGGCTACCATGGTTAGAGATCTCAATGACTTTGAAAGAGGGACCTCAAAGGAGCATAGGGCATTTAAAGTGTGTGTGTCTCAGTCACCAGATCTCAACCCAGTTGAACACTTATGGGAGATTCTGGAGCGCCTGAGACAGCGTTTTCCACCACCATCAACAAAAACACCAAATGACGGAATTTCTCGTGGAAGAATGGTGTCACATCCCTCCAATAGAGTTCCAGACACTTGTAGAATCTATGCCAAGGCACTTCTGGCGGCTCGAGGTGGCGCAACTCCTATTAAGACACTTTATATTGGTGTTTCCTTTGTTTTGGCTGTTACCTGTATATAAAGATGGACAATAAGGATTTATAGGCTGGATTTTGCTCAAACCTAGCTCTCAAACACCTGATTCATATAGTTTGTTCAAGAAAAACACAAGTGTGTTTTAGTGCTGGGCTGGAACAAAAGCTTGTACACTATTGCTCCCAGGTTCAAATTAGCCTTTGCCTACACTGATTAATAACATTGGAGAAGAGAATGAATGGAAGGAAGATTGCTATAAGCTGTGTTTGCTTACTATGTGTTTCCTACAGGTTCACAGAACTAAAAGAGCAGAGTCTGCATGAAAAGCAGTTGCTCAATGGACAAAGTAGCCCCACCACAGAAGAAAAAAAGGCAGAGAGGACCATGGGCCTGGATACTGACACCTCGGAGGACCATGACATCCAAGATGGCTCCACAGTCTGGCCTACTGAAAACTCTATGGAGTCTAAGTCTGAGTGTTTGGTGAAAGAGGGGGAAGAAGGAGAGAGCGAGAGAAGCCAGAGTATAGAGGAGCCCAACTGCCACAAGACACGGGCCAAGAGACAGAGCCGGCGCATGAGGGAGCTGGAGCAGGCCCAGTTCAGCCTGGAGCTACTCAAGGTGCGGACCCACAGCACAGGAGGGACTCTGCAAGAGGAGGAGACCCCTGTACCCCCGTGTCCGGACAGCACCCCCTGTCCCCTGGACGACCACAAACACCACCAGCCCTCATCGCCCCACCGGGGCTCCCCCGTTAGCCATGGGAGCTTTGAGCTGCTCGACACCACCATGGATGTGGAGGCGGGAGGGCCTGGTTACCCCGGTTGCCGTGGTAACCAGTCTACGCCGCTCCGGACTTCTTCCCAAGAGGATTTGAATGGACCAGGGTCTACAGAATCCCAGCCACAGAAGGACCCGGAGGTGGTAAATGAGAATGATCCAAGCCCCAGGACGGAGGAGCTACCCCCCATGATACCATCTCCTATCAAGGAGGTGATGGCAGAGGCTCCACAAGCTACCTTCTACATCCCCTCTGAGGACCAAAGCAGCGAGCCCAAGCAAGAGAGCCCAGGCAAGCCCGTGAAGGAGAGGCGAGAGTCCGCCTCGCAAAGGCCTGTGGTGGTGGTCATCAGCATGCAGAAGGAGACAACGCTGGAGGGGGAGCTGCGGTTGGCGCCAGCCCAGGAGAGTGCAGTCCAGACAGGTGTGACCACCACCGCCTCCCACCTTACACCCATTGCCGGCCTGGAAGTATCAGAGAAGGCCCAGCCACCCAGGACTGTTACCCAGCCTCGGAGAGACTTAGCTGGGGTAGACAGGTCTAGCTTGGTCCCCTCCTCCTCCTCCACCCATGGCCTTTGTCCTTCAGCGGTAGACATCCAGATAGTCCTGGAGGCCAAGGCCCCGTCCGGCGAAGTCCTACCAAGCCAGGGGGAGAGAAAGGCGGCCTGGCCAGTGCAGGACAACTGGGTCTCCACCAACAGTATCCTGGAGAGCAGGGAAGTTGCCAGCAAAGCAGCAGCCAAGGCACCACAGAAGAAGACCCCGACCCAGACCATCATTGTCAGTATGACTGAGAAGCCCCCCACCAACACCACATTCTCCTCCCGACGCAAGCTCCCCTTCTCCAAGTGAGTGTCATTTTTCTGTAACGTTGCTGTAACGTTGTTGTAAAGTTGCTGCTCATTCAAAGTGTCACTTAGTAAAAGCTTTGTAGTTAATTTCTTCTCTCTACACTAGCTTGACTCTTCACTGACGGGCAGTGTGTACAAATTAACACTTTCATTTCAACAAATCACGACAGTGCTTTTTTTCTCTCAAAATGTTCAGAAATGTATTTCTTATTTCTTGTTCTTTTTCATTGCCTTGAACAGCAACAACATTGTAAAACACAGGAGAAATATGTTTGAATATGTAACTAAATACATACATTTCAAAGTCTACAAATAGATTTAAGGTTTCCTGAATGTGTTGTAGGTCTGATAAGGATCTGGTGAACCATGAGCGGTCGTTGGCCATGCATAGAGAGGAGGCATCCGCCTCTAGAGCCACTGCTGGACAGAGAACCAAACAGGTGGGTTGCACACAATACACTACCCAAAAGACATACACACAGAGTATACAATACCCCCACTACACACACATATCTTTTGGGAGGTTTTTTAAGAACTTACATAAGGTAACTTGCATAACTCATGCTGTTGTAATATACTAAAGCACTCAATGTTGATGTGTAGTTCCCACTGATATATTGTTTAAACTAATAATAGAACCAGTATCTGTGGCTTGTATGTGCATGTGAGAGTGTGTGCTTGTATAAGCTGCCTTATAAATTTGTGTCACTCAGACTATCAGTGTGTCTCTGTGATATCCACATAGAACACATATACACACACACCATTCCTCTCCACACACACACACGCACACACACACATAATCCTATCTCCCATCACGTACCCAGACCGCTGACGTGTTGTGGTGTATGTGGTTGAGCAGGTGGGCCGGCGCGGCCCTAAAAAGAAAGCCCGTATGTCTCGGACCCGCTCCGACTTTCTGACCCGCTGTAACTCCGAGGGGGCGGGCCAGTCGGACGATGACGATGACGACACATTCTACACCCCCGCCCTGTCCCGCACGCTGCCCCTCCTCCCCCCGTCCCCCCTGACCCACCCCAAGGGGGGCGCTGACCCGGCCTGTTACAGTGACTCTGAAATGGTAAACGGACCCTACGGGGGTCCAAGCTACCCCCCCCCTCTTGTCCCCTGCCTCCTACCGACCCTCCAGCATATTTATTTTCTCTCTGGGGGCCAGGCTTACTAGCCTGAGGGGACTCTTTTAACACGACTAACCCCATTGAACTAGCATCCTCCAACTTCGTTTTAGTATTTAACCACTGGATAGAAATATGTTTCTGTTCTACCAGCTCTTTGCCTGACGCTCCTTTATTTTGCGGATAGTGAAAAACCCAACATTGGCTCAGGCCTCTTCTAGCGATAGTTTGTCGCAAAAAACTTTACAGCATGGCTGCAACTGTAAGTGGTAATGTCATGGATTCAGATCTGTGTTTTCCCCTGAAGAGAATAGTCATCCTTCATAAACACTCAGTACCCCTAACCAACCACAGATCTAGGATCAGATAACCTAACCCCTAACCTTAACCTTAACTTTGGAGGTTTAAAAGTTGATCTGACCCTGGAGCAGTAGTCAGGGGCATCTTGTGTCTACTCTGATCTTGTGACATCTGTGTAGTTTCTGGAAGAGGATAAATGCAATGTCCCTCTCCTCTTAGCCTGGTCCCAGAACTGTTTGTGCTGGGACCAGGCTTATGGTTATCACAAACCGATCTGGGACCAGGCTAGTCCAACTAAGCCACGAGCGCAATCAGTGATGCATGCTGGAACCTTTTACCTTCTACCATTGACACCATTTCATTACTACCTTTTTATTACTTCCCTAACAGGTCTTTCATGAGCATGAGCGCCCTCCCTCCCTCACCCACTCATATCTCTTTTAGTTTGAAATAGTCGTTTTCTGAGCGAATATGTCTGTACTGTATATGTTAATATGTCTATGTCTCAGTATGTAAACATGTTAGTATGTTTGTAGACTGTTAGCTGTTGTTCTGTGCAGAATGAATGAGTGATGTAATAGGAACATGCAAGCAAATGTGTCTCTTCTGTCTTTTCAGCATATGACTCAAAGACATGGCAAAATAGCCTGAGCATTTGATGCCCAATCAATGAACATTGAAAATATTTCACTTCCCTATGTTTGGTATCAAGACTTACCTTGCTACGCCCTAACCTTCTATTCTCCCAGGCTTCTCACAAGGAAGAGCATAAGAAGTTCCACAAGACTATGTCTTCAGGGGACCTGGGCAAGGTGGCAGCACTTGGGAAAACATCCAGTCAGGATGGAAGGTAGCTACAGTACCTTCTCTCTATGTCTCAGTTGGTAGAGCATGGCTCTTGCAACATAAGTATTATATTACAATCATTATGCAGAGGCACAAATTAAGCTCGTATTGTATTAAAACAGACTATTACCCTTTTCACACAAGTTGCTGAACACGTGCTGAAAAGGACATGGAAAAGATTATACAAAGACAAATCCGAGCCAGCACACACACTGGCGAATCTGGTCGGCCCGATCAAAATAAAAGAAAGGTTTGTTCTAAGCTGTCTGTGTGTGACTGTGTTTGTGGCAGCAGAGTGCGAGGGAAGATGCGTTTCTGGGGCAAGGCCAAGCATGCAGAGAAGAAGCTGTCCAGAGAGAAGCAGCAGACCACCAGGAATGAGTCCACACAGGGAGACCGCGCCGACAAGACAGGTAATAAATACACTGTGTGTGTGTGCCCGTCCGTGCGTGCAATGGACAATAAAGTTGTTTGTACCATGGCATTGTTGAATACTTGTTTCTGATTGGCTTGAAGGGCATTCTAGAGCGTGTATTATTTCCCTATAACGCACAGTATATTTGCACGGTAGAATTCAATGGCTATAGTTCATTCTTACATGTTCTATGTTTGAGCTGCTTTTGAAAGCAAAAGTCGAATTGAAAACATAATTGGCATTGTTGAATTTGATTTTCATAATGGCAAGCTAGGACTGATGGTTTGGTTAACTAAACTAGCAAGTCTGTTTGTTTGGTTACCACAACTACTGTAGCTATCTAGTAAACTTCCTAGTTACTTCAGTGGATGTTGAACACATTTCTACTGGCAAATGAACACATTTCTATGCATTCTCTGCAAAATAACGCATCGTAGAACACCTTCCACGTCGTTCATTATTTTCCAGAGAACGCATAGCCCCTCGTTGATTATCCCTTACATATTGTATAAAACTGGACATTCCAAATAACATGTTATTTGTCACATGCTTTGCAAACAACAGGTGTAAACTAACAGTGAAATGCTTACTTACGGGCACTTCCCAACAAGCCAGAGAGAAACATATAGAAAAAAGAATAACACAAGGAATAAATACACAATGAGTAATGATAACTTGGCTATATACACGGGGTACTAGTACCGAGTCGATTTGCATGGGTACGAGGTAATTGAGGTAGATATGTAAATATAGGTATGGGTAAAGTGACTAGGTAACAGGATAGGTAATAAACAGTAGCAGCAGCGTATGTGAAGAGTCAAGAGTTAGTGCAAAAAGGGTAGCTATTTGGTTAACTATTTAGTAGTCTTATGTATTGAAGCTGTTCAGGGACCTGTTGGTTCCAGACTTTGTGGCTTGGGTGGCTGGAGTCTTTGACAATTTGTAGGGCCTTCCTCTGACACCGCCTGGTAGAGAAGTCCTGGATGGCAAGGAGCTCGGCCCTTGTGATTTACTGGTCCGTACGCACTAGCCCCCGAGGGGGAAGAGGCATTGTCGTGTCTTCTTCACAACTGTGTTGGTGTCTGTTCCTTAGTGATGTGGATGGGGGTGTGCTCAGCCCTCTGTTTCCTGTAGTTCACAACCTTTGTCTTGCTGACATTGAGGGAGAGGTTGTTGTCCTGGCACCACACTGCCAGGTCACTGCCCATCTCTCTATAGGCGGTCTCATCGTCGTCGGTGATCAGGCCTACCACTGACGTGTCATCAGCAAACTTAATGAAGGTGTTGGAGTCGTGCGCAGCCACGCAGTTGTGGGTGAACAGGGAGTGCAGGAGGAGACTAAGCACACACCCGAGTGGGGCCCCCGTGTTGAGGGTCAGCTTGGTGGATGGGGTGTTGCCCACCCTCACTACCTGGGGTGGCCTGTCAGGAAGATCCAGTTGCAGAGGGAGGTGTTCAGTCCCAGGGTCCTGAGCTTAGTGATGAGCTTGGAGGGCCCTATGGTGTTGAACGCTGAGCTGTAGTCAATGAACATCATTCTCACATAGCTGTTCCTCTTGTCCAGGTGGGAAAGGGCAGTGTGGAGTGCAATAGGGATTGTGTCATCTGTGGATCTGTTGGGGCGGTATGCGAATTGGAGTGGGTCCAAGGTGTCTCGGATGATGGTGTTGATGTGAGCAATGACCAGCCTTTCAAAGCATTTCATGGCTACAGATGAGTGCTACGGGGCGATAGTCATTTAGACAAGTTACCGTGGCGTTCTTGGGCACAGGGACTATGGTGGTCTGCTTGAAACATCTAGGAATTGCAGACTGGATCAGGGAGATGTTGAAAATGTCAGTGAAGACACCCCCAGCTGGTCTGTGCATGCTCTGAGTACGCGTCCTGGTAATCTGTCTGGCCCCACGGCCTTGTGAATGTTAACCTGTTTAAAGGTCCTACTCACATCGGCTAAGGAGAGCGAGATCACACAACTTCGTCCGGAACTGCTGGTGCTCTCATGTATGGTTCAGTGTTGCTTGCCTCGAAGCGAGCATAGAAGGCATTTAGCTCGTCTGGTAGGCTCACGTCAATGGGCAGCGCGCGGCTTGGTTTTACTTTGTAACCCGTGATAGATTGCAAGCCCTGCCACATCCAACGAGCGTCAGAGCCGGCATGGTAGGATTCAATCTTAGTCCTGTATTGACGTTTGCCTGTTTGATGGCTCGTCAGAGGTCGTAGCAGGATTCTTATAAGCTTCCGGATTAGTGTCCCGCTCCTTGAAAGCGGCAGCTCTAGCCTTTAGCTCAGTGTGGATGTTGCCTGTAATCCATGGCTTTTGGTTGGGGTATGTACGTACAGTCACTGTGGGGATGACGTCGTCAATGCACTTACTAATGAAGCCGGTGACTTGATGTGGTAAACTCTTCAATGTTATCTGATGAATCCCGGAACATATTCCAGTCTGTGCTAGCAAAGCAGTCCTGTAGCTTAGCATCCGCTTCATCGGACCACTTCCATATTGAGCGCGTCAGTGGTACTTCCTGTTTGAATTTTTGCTTGTAAGCAGGAATCAGGAGGATAAAGTTTTGGTCAGATTTGCCAAAGGGAGGAAGAGCCTTGTTTCTGTTTGTGGATTAAAGGTGATCTAGAGTTTTGTTGCCTCTAGTTGCACAGGTGACATGCTGTTAAAAATGAGGTAAGTTTCTCTGTTGATTTCTCATCTCAACAACAAGACAAAAAACTGAATAGAAAACCGAAACAATTGTCTTCACAAAACCCCTACTGTATCTTTGTCTCTCTGTGCTTTGCGGGTCCAGATGGCACGACATCTTCCCCCCACAGTCCCGACCTGACGGCAACCAGGGCCCGGGATTCCAAGGAGAACAAGGACCCCTCTCCCAAAGCGAGGCGGAGACGCAGCGTCAAGATCAGCAGCGTGGCCCTAGAGCCCGCCCAGTGGCAGAACGACGCTCTGAACATCCTCACCAGCGCCCACGACTACAGGAGCATGAACGACTTCCTCATGAAGAAGGTAGGCAGACCAACAGAGATATACACAGGCAGACAGACGGGCAGACGGATACACAGACAGACAAGTGTACATAGTCTTACACACACACTCAAGTAAATACACAGGACACCAGAATACTGTTGGTTTCCGTATTAAGATGATACACAAAAACACAATACACACACACACACACAGACATGCACACGCACACATACAGAAGTGTACACATACATTCACCCAAATACACTTATTTTCAAATACAGTCGTATAAATCACTTCATCATTAAAGGTAGACTCAGTGATAGGACGTAGATGCTGACAGTAAACAGCATAATGGGTCAATTTCCACAACAACTAAGAGCGTGGTAGTGTGAGGCTCAACTTCTCTGCTGTTTTGGTCCTGTGCATATACCAGGCTGTAGCAGCGTGATGCAAACCCGTGCACATACGCAGATACTGTGTGTGACTGTGTGAGAGCGAAGTCTTGCATCTTGCTCATCTCAATATCTGCGGTGCTGCTCGTGGCATCGTCTACCTTTAACATAGTGTACACACACCAGAATGCTACAGCAGTACTGTATTGTACTATACCGTATAATACAATAGTCACATATTTACACAGCAGCAACATACTTTAGGTTGTGTAGACTATTTGATGAGTTTGATGGAAACCTGTATTTATTATGACCATTTATTGTACCACCTAGATCAATGACCTGGACTCTGAGGATGGCAAGAAGGACACCTTGGTGGACGTCGTCTTCAAGAAGGCTCTGAAGGAGTTCCGCCTAAACATATTCAACTCCTACTCAACGGCTCTGGCTGTGAGTACCACTATGATTGTTTCACGGTCATGGTCGAAATGCTTACTTGAAGGTTCCTTCTCGACAATGCATCAATAATACGAAATAATCAAATATAAGGATACGAACATAAAGCAAATGGCTCAGTAGAATATAATAAACATTTTAGCATAAGTATAATACAGGAAGACACAATTTATAGTACAATAATTACACATGTATCAGAGAAAAGGGGGATTGGCAATATTAAATAAGAGTCTGGTAGCAGCAATTGTGATGTGTTTGTTTGTGTGTGTGTGTGTGTTAGTAGGGCTGTTACGGTGACTGTATTACCGCCACACTGGCAGTCACGAGTAATGACCGCAGTAAATTCCACGTGATCGTTGAGTCACGGTAACTAGGCTTCTCCAAAACTGCGCTCTGATGCCGCTGATGGTCATTAGTAGCCTACCAAACTTGCTAATGGCCTGGCACTCAGCGCTCTATTGTCCCTCTAATCACTCTGACATCAATGCAAATGCAATCGAAAATCAAATCAAACACTTCCTGAGAGCCCTGGCATTCTGAGTTTGTGCGGTATAGGATCACCTGTTGCGCAGCGAGAGCCAGCTCCTCATAGCTGGTTGATGCATGGAATGAAGTGGCCAAATACAGTGAGCTCCAAAAGTATTGGGACAGTGACACATGTGTTGTTGTTTTGGCTCTGTACTCCAGCACTTTGGATTTGAAATGATACAATGACTATGAGGTTAAAAGTGCAGACTGTCCGCGTTAATTTGAGGGTAGTTTCCATCCATATCGGGTGAACCGTTTAGAAATTACAGCACTTTTTGTACATAGTCCCTCCATTTTAGGGGACCAAAAGTATTGGGACCAATTCAGTTGTGTATTAAAGTAGTCAAAAGTTTAGTATTTGTTCCCATATTTCTACGGAGCAATTCCCGTACCAGGCCGTGATGCAACCGGTCAGGACGCTCTCGATGGTGCAGCTGTAGTATTTGGAGAGGACCCGGGGTGGCATGACGATTTTTTTCTTCAGCCGCCTTAGGAAGTAGAGACGCTGTTGCACCCTCTTGAAAAGAGTGGTGGTGTTGTTGGTCCATGTCAAGTCCTCAGTGGAGGCAGAGGAACTAAAAACTGCTGACTCGCTCTACTGCAGTCCCGTTGATGTGGACCAGGGCGTGTTCCCTCCTCTGCTTCCTGAAGTCAACAATCAACTCCTTTGTTTTGCTGACGTTGAGGGAGAGGTTGTTGTCCTGGCACCACAATGCCAGTTCACTGACCTCCTCCCTATAGGCTGACTCGTCGTTGTTGGTTATCAGGCCTACAGCCGTGGTGTCTTCAGCGAACTTGATGATGGAGTTGGTGCCGCGCAAAGCCACGCAGTCGTGGGTGAACAGGGAGTACAGCAGAGGGCTGAGGACACAACCCTGGGAGGCCCCTGTGTTAGGAGTCAGTGTGAAGGAGGTGTTGTTGCCAATCCTCACAGCCTGTGGTCTGCCCATCAGGAAGTCCAGGATCCAGTTGCAGAGGGTAGTGCCCAGACCCAGGGCTCTGTACTTGGTGACGAGCTTGGAGGGAACAATAGTGTTGAATGCTGAACTGTACTCACTGAACAGCATTCTCACGTAGGTGTTCCTCTTGTCCAAAGAGCAAATTGGAGTGGGTCCAGTGTGCCTGGCATGCTAGCCTTGATGTGGGTCATGACCAACCTCTCGAAGCATTTCATGATGAAAGGGGTGAGTGCGACGGGGCGATAGTCATTTGGGCATGCCACCTTGGTTTTCTTGAGCACTGGTCACAATCACTTTTACAGTGGGCCTCAAGGTGCTGGGCACCCCAATCACAACCATCAGTGACCACAAATGACAGTGGCTGACTATTGTAGCACATAAATCCATTTTTGTAATCTTGCCTCCCTCACTACTACTTTCCTCCTCATCTCTGCCTTCACATACTACTTTAGATGGTAGTACTGTAATCAATTGCCTTATAGCACTTTCTCACAAGATCTCAAAGCTCTTTACAGTAACGTATATGGGCTTTTTCCACTAATCTCTTCTTCTCCACATTCCCTCATCCCAATCTCCTCCCCCCATCCCTTCCTCCTCCTCCCACTTTCACTCTCCTCCAGATGGATGACGGTAAGAGTATCCGCTACAAGGACTTGTACGCCCTGTTTGAACAGATCCTGGAGAAGAGCATGCGTCTGGAGCAGCGGGACTGGAGCGAGTCGCCCGTAAAGGTCTGGGTCAACACCTTCAAAGTCTTCCTGGATGAGTTCATGACCGAGTACAAGCCCATGGACAGCACCATCAGCAAGGTAGGGTTTGTGTGTGTGTGTGTGTGTGTGGGTGGAAGGATTTTGGCTGGGTGTGAGTACGTGCTTGTGTCGGTACGTGTGTCAATGCGCGTGTTGTTTATTTAGCCTGTACTTCTACAGGTCAGTCCCATTGAGATGGAAATCCTATAGCAGTCTTACAACCTGATGTATGGCATGTTGGATCAGTGTTAACAAAAATAGTGACTAGAATATTCGTCAAACAGCTATTTTTCAGTGGCAATTGACGAGACTATAACAGACTAAATAAACCCAGAAAAAACTATATCTAAACGAAAATCTTTTGTCATTTCAGTTGACTATAATCTGACTGGACAATAGTTTTTTGGAGAGATTGAGAGCTTTTCAGTGATAAGCACAATTAATATTAGCAGCACAGATGCGCAGCGCAGTTCTGTTCAGCAGTGGGAAGGACGCTCCACACCCGCCACACAGCCTACATTAGCTAGTGAGCTGCAGGGGAGCAAGCAAAGAGTGTGGGCAGACAGGCTCCACTCCAGCCCCGCTTTCAATTATACACATTGCGCAGGCGACTCTCTTGCTTCACCTTAGCTAACCAGTCACCACCAGCCTTCTAGTTAGCTACCCTCTGCCTGGTTAAGAAACAGAAGCTGCTTCACGAAATTTAAAACAATAGTAGCATTGAGTTTAAGAGTAAAACATTAGTCTAGGTATGTTTTTCTCTCCCTTTGATTTTGTAGTCTCGCTCAACCCTCAGACTTTCCCCACTGCATTTCATAGCCAGATTCTGTAGCCAAGTCTCCCTCTTTTCCTCAGAGAAAACGGCTTGAGAGATTACCGTTCAAAAGACCAATAATACTGTTTCTTTCTTTCTATCGTGCATTGGTGGGCCGCATTTTACATTCATAAAGCATATCGCGGGCCATTCTACAACCAGGCTACTTGCATACTGGACCGTTAACCATTTTAGGCTACACCTTGTTCAGTCATGTTACCTCACTAGCTAGCTATAGCTAACAACCTGGGGCACGTACAGCAGGATGCAACGTTTTGGAACGTTCAGATAGAAATATGCTATGTTGAATAAGGAATAACCAATGACTGTATATATGAATGGACAAAGCCATTGATCATGTGACTCCATTCATTCCTATGTTAAGACTCTATAGCGCATTGAAGCCAAATGAAGTCGGTTAAGATGGCGTCTAATGGAGACATAACATGCGCAGTTTGAGCTATTCCAGGAAGTGACGTTGCAGGATAGCTCAGTGATACCCCCTCTCATTGAGTAACTCAAATTGAAGGCAGACTGGGATTCTGTAGGCTGCCATTAGCAACTCAATTATCCCTATAACTTCTTCTGTGTGATTTAAAAAAAAAAATTGGTTCAAGGACATACATCTGGTGTATTAGAAACAATTATTGGTACCATGAATGTCTTCGGATTTTGTATTTATTTACACAAAGATTGACCACGAAGAGAAAGTATTCAAGCCCCTGAGTCAATACATGTTAGAATCACCTTTGGCAATGATTACAGCTGTGAGTCTTTCTGGGTAAGTCTCTAAGAGTTTGTACACCTGGATTGTACAATATTTGGCCATTATTCTTAAAAAGGTTACTCAAGCTCTGTCAAGGTGGTTGTTGATCATTGCTAGACAGCCATTTTCAATTCTTGTCATAGATTTTCAAGTCGATTTAAGTCAAAACTGTAATTAGGCCACTCAGGAACTATTCACTATCATGGGGGATCCTGTTTTCTGCTAACAATGCCTGAAGTACCGCGGTCGGCCTTAAACTTCTGTGACTTCAATGAGTGGGGGCAGTCGTTCTAACGTTGGCTCTATCTGCAACATTCAAGAAAGTTTTGCAACTGAACGTGGCCCTGCTAACATTACCAGTAGCCAATATGCAAACATTTGGTGACACACAAAGAAAGTAAAAGAGATAGCAAACAATTTATTGACTAAATTCCTCTTGCCACTACACTATAACTGACTGGGTAAATAACTTTATTTTGAGTTAATGTGGACCCAGTGACTCAGCACTTGGACCAGGACTCCAGTGCTCGACCATTGGGAACTCGGACTCGAGCACAGGGGACTTGGGATTCGATTCGAACTCAAGGTTTAGTGACTCGACTACATCACTGGGCAAAAACCAGTCATTAGCTCTCGTTCTACTTTTGGACATCAATGTGGCTGCGGTGTCCGTGGAATGTTGATAGCAATGGCAATGATGTGACTGAGGTGCAACCCATACTACTTTGCGGCACCATCTGGTGATTGTGCTTCTCTCTCTGTCTCTCTCTCTCTCTCTCTCTCTCTCTCTCTCTCTGTCTCTCTCTCTCTCTCTGTCTCTGTCTCTCTGTGCTTGTATGTGTTGGTTTGTTTTGTATGTAATTTGCAATATCTATGTAGGCTGAATTAGGAATTTACATGGCCAGATAATTCTTATATATTCTTAGATATGTTTGTCATATTTATGGGCGAAGGATGTATCGACGAAGGATGTATCGACGAAGGATGTATCGACGAAGGACGTATCGACGAAGGATGGATGGGAATACTCACTGGTCTATCTGTTTGTCTCCTGTTCTCTTAGGCCCCCAAACCAGAATGCAAGAAGAGGAGGAAAAAGGAACCTGACATTGTGAGTACTACTGAATATTCTATACCATATCTCTACGCTTTGTAATGCATTTGATGGCTGTATCTTTATGGCAAACTGAGCTGAGCCCCTCTCACCCTCTGTAGGTTGAGGAGCACAATGGGCACATCTTCAAGTCCACCCAGTACAGCATCCCCACATACTGCGAGTACTGCTCCTCTCTTATCTGGATGATGGACCGGGCCTGTGTCTGCAAACGTGAGTTCACACACACACTTTAACTGTTCCACTCCACACCAAAAATTGTCAAAGACTCCAGTCACCCAAGTCATAGACTGTTCTCTCTGCTACCGCACGGCAAGCGGTACCGGAGCGCCAAGTCTAGGTCCAAAAGGCTTCTTAACAGCTTCTACCCCCAAGCCATAAGACTACTGAACAATTAATCAAATGGCCACCTGGACTATTTGCATTTATTTAACATTTTTTAATGTTAATCAATTTTTTACTTTAGTTTATTTAGTAAATATTTTCTTAACTCTATTTTCTTAAAACTGCATTGTTGGTTAAGGGCTTGTAAGTAAGCATTTCACGGTCTACACGTGTTGTATTCGGCGCATGTGACAAATAACATTTGATTTTATTTGATATACAGTGCCTTCAGAAAGTATTCACACCCCTTGACTTTTTCCACATTTTGTTGTGTTAAAAGTGGGATTAAAATGGATTTAATTGTCTTTTTTTTTGTCAACAATCTACACAAAATACTCTAACGTCAAAATGGAAGAAATATTACATTTTTTAAAGAATTTATGGAAAATAAAATACTCATATCTTGATTAGATAAGTATTGTTAGAATCACCTTTGGCAACGATTACAGCTGTGAGTCTTTCTGGGTAAGTTTCTAAGAGCTTTGTACACCTGGATTGTACAATATTTGGCCATTATTCTTTAAGACATTCTTCAAGCTCTGTCAAGGTGGTTGTTGATCATTGCTAGACAGCCATTTTCAAGTCTTGCCATAGATTTCCAAGTCGATTTAAGTTAACTGTAACTAGGCCGCTCAGGAACATTCAATGTCTTCTTGGTAAGCAACTCCAGTGTATATTTGTTCTTGTGATTTAGGTAATTGTCCTGCTGAAAGGTGAATTTGTCTCCCAGTGACTGTTGGAAAGCAGACTGAACCAAGTTTTCCTGGAGGATTTTGCCTGTGCTTAGTTCTTTTACATTTATTTTCACCCCCACCCCCCCCAAAAAAACTCCCTAGTCCTTGCTGATGACAAGCATACCCATAATATAATACAGCCACCACCATGCTTGAAAATATGAAGAGTGGTACCAAGTGATGTGTTGTGTTGGATTTGCCACAAACATAACTCTTTGTATTCAGGACAATAAGTTAATTTCTTTGCAAATTTTTTTCCACTATTACTTTAGAATCCATGTTTTGGAATATTAGTATTCTGTACAGGCTTCCTTCTTTTCACTCTGCCATTTATGTCAGTATTGTGGAGTAACTACTGTGCAATGTTGTTGATCCATCCTCAGTTTTCTCCTATCACAGCCATTAAACTCTGTAAATGTCACCATTAGCCTCATGTTGAAAATCCCTGAGTGATTTCCTTCTTCTCCGGCAACTGAGTTAGGAAGGGGCGCCTGTATCTTTGTAGTGACTGGGTGTATTGATACACTATCCAAAGTGTAAGTAATAACTGCACCATGCTCAAAGGGGATATTCAATGTCTGCTTTTTTTTTTGCCCATCTACCAATAGGTGCCCTTCTTTGCGAACCAGTGGAAAACCTCCCTGGTCTTTGTGGTTGAATCTGTGTTTGAAATTCACTGCTCAACTGAGGGACCTTACAGATAATAATAATTTTTTAATAATAATTATAATAATTTTATAATTGTTTTATTTAGCAGACGCTCTTATCCAGAGCGACTTACAGGAGCAATTAGGGTTAAGTGCCTTGCTCAAGGGCACATCGACAGATTTTTCACCTAGTCGGCTCGGGGATTAGAACCAGCGACCTTTCGGTTACTGGCACAACGCTCTTACCCACTAAGCTACCTGCCGCCCAACATAATTGTATGTGAGGAGTACAGAGATGGGGTAGTAATTTAAAAAGTCATGTTAAACACTGTTATTGCACACACTGAGTCCATACAACTTATTATGTGACCTGTTAAGCACATGTTTACTCCTGAAATTATTTAGGCTTGCCATAACAAAAGGGTTGAATACTTATTGACTCGAGACATTTCAGCTTTTCATAATTCCACTTTGACATTAAGGGGTATTGTGTGTAGGCCAGTGACACAAAATCTCAATTTAATCCATTTTAAATTCAGGATGTAACACAACAAAATGTGTGAATACTTTCTGTTCCTTTGGTTGGATGGACAACATGTCAGTTCATTCTGTAAGAGCTCTGATAGGTTGGAGGACGTCCTCCGGAAGTCTTCATGATTACTGTGTAAGTCTATGGAAGGGTGTGAGAACCATGAGCCTCTTAGGTTTTGTATTGAAGTAAATGTACCCAGAGGAGGACTGAAAACACCTGTCCTCCGGCTACAGCATGGTGCTACCCTAGAAGGTGCTCTTAGACCATTACAAAACAGTGTGTTTTAATCAGTTATTTGGTTACGTGAATATATTTAGTCTAGTTTTATCTAAAAACGTTTGTAATGTTTCACTATTGAAATGTTTCTGAAATTCACTGAGTAGGATGGTCCTCCCCTTCCTCTGAGGAGGAGCCTCCACTGATATATACAAACACACACAGACTCCCACCGTTACACACACACACATGCACACACACAGATACCCCCCCCCCCCCCCCACACACACACACACACACACACACACACTTTCACATTCACACACACTACCACCCTTCCTCTCCACACACACACACATCCTCTTCCTGTGCTGCCTCTTAAGTGTCTGTAATCAAATTGTATCCAGCTGTTCTCATAAATCTATCTTCTATCTCTATGCTTGTTGACTGACCAGGGTTGAGGTTGGACACGGAGTGTTGTTAGAACGTTGCTTAAAGGTTAGGGGATACAGATTGCTTGTTGTTGACTGAAAAGCAGTTGGAGACTTAACGTTGATAGAAGGTTGTGGAAGGGTAAGGGTATACAGATTGTGTCTGACTCTGTTGTGTCCTCTTCTGCAGTGTGTCGGTACGCCTGCCATAGAAAGTGCTGCTCTAGGATGACCACGAAATGTAGCAAAAAGGTAAGAGGCTATTTTATAGTGTGTGTATTTGTGTATACATTATTAAGAATGGAAAGAAGGGATAGAGTATCAACCAAGAGACAATTCAGTACTTGCAGGGATGTTATAGTTCTTAAGGGGATAATCCACCCCAAACCACTAATTCCTATGATTAACAGTGTTTAAACAGTGTTAAATAACACTAATATGTGAAAACAGTGTTTTTTTGTGAACAAATGATTCATTTTGTCATTATAAAAAGGTTGGTAGCAACGTGAAAATCGTTGGGGAAATCTGTTGCAGCTCAAGTCAACTACAAAACCCACAATGCGATGCTCTCTCTTTGGGCTAGCTGGCTAGCTATCTCTCTCTCTGGGCTGGCTATGGTCTCTCTGGGCTGGCTGGCTGGCTAGGTAGCTAGCTACAGTGCATAATTTGGCTCCTCTTAGTTTTGGACTGTTTCATTCCAGAACCTCTTTGCCAGGATCCGGTACTTCTCATGGCATGAAAAATAATGCTCGCTGTTTGCAATGTAAACATTTGAAAAAAGCGATCAGAGTTAATTCAAGTTGCCTCCTGCCCCCTTAAAAAAACGTAATGTGAAAGCGTAGATTTTCAGCCTGCGCCTGATAAGTATTGTTTAAGGTCTGGCCAGCTTGGGCTCATGGTTGGCACAACACTGTAACCTTGAGACCAACGTGTTGCCGTTACTGTAGTGAGAGAGAGAAGCGCGCTTGTAGTCTATCTCTCACAGAACTAGAATGAGTTGTACTTTCTATGATCTCCCTCCCTCTCTCTGCGCTGTTAGACGTGATCCTGCAGCTCTCATCTCTCCAGCGCAGCACTTCATCATTTATTTCCTTATAGAATCATATCCGTGGGAACCGTGCTGCAGCACCTTTGATCAATTTTAATAAATGTGCCAAAGTTATAGAATTAGGCCTACTGCTGTCTGTTCAGAAATAAATGAAATAATTCTGAAAACTACACCAGGATTAGGCCTATAGGCCTATAGGTCTAATGTAGCCACAGAGGATCAATAGCTTATTTTTTTTAAATTGCCTAGCTGTGAATTGTATGTAGCCCAATCACAAGGGGTCGGGAACGCGCTGCAAATCTGTCAGTGAACAGCATGCAGCCAAAACAGGCCTTTCGCAATATTTCAAATACAACGGCGGGAAAACACAGGTTGGAAAGCAAATGGCTCCTTCTGAAAGAGAAGACTTTCATCTGTCTGTAGGCTACCAAAATATTTTTGCAACTTGCAAATAGGCCTAGCGAACAGTAGCCTGTTGTACAAAGTAACACGAGAGAAGATAGGCTTTTTGGCATGAGTGCATCGGCCATCGCCGGCGAGTGAGCTGCACATCAATGACTGGAAACTGGAAAGCTTTTTTAGGACTATCATTTCCTCCTCATATTGTACAATATGCGTCTCCACACACCTAGGCTATTGATGGATTCATGAATGGCATGAAAAGGCTTTATTTCAAATGTATTTTTTCATATGTATTTTTTTAGGAGGTAGATCAGCTTTAATATTGCAGATAGATTGTAACTTCCATCAATGCAATTGTCTACATCACTTCCAATCCCCCATATATATTTCTTCGCAAATAGACAGTGCCTTACAAAAGTATTCATCCCCCTTGGCGTTTTTCCTATTTTGTAGCATTACAACCTGTAATTGAAATTGATTTTTATTTGGATTTCATGTAATGGACATACACAAAATAGTCTAAATTGGTGAAGTGAAATGAAAAAAATAACTTGTTTCAAAAAATTCTAAAAAATAAATAACGGAAAAGTGGTGCATGCATATGTATTCTCACCCCCTTTGCTATGAAGCCCCTAAATAAGATCTGGTGCAACCAATTACCTTCAGATAATACCTTCACATAATTAGTTAAATAAAGTCCACCTGTGTGCAATCTAAGTGTCACATGATCTGTCACATGATCTCAGTATATATACACCTGTTCTGAAAGGTCCCAGAGTCTGCAACACCACTAAGCAAAGGGCACCACCAAGCAAGCGGCACCATGAAGACCATGTTTGACGGTGGGGATGGTGTTCTTGGGGTCATAGGCAGCATTCCTCCTCCAAACACGGCGAGTTGAGTTGATGCCAAAGAGCTCGATTTTGGTCTCATCTGACCACAACATTTTCACCCAGTTCTCCTCTGAATCATTCAGATGTTCATTGGCAAACTTCAGAAGGCCCTGTATATGTGCTTTCTTGAGCAGGGGGACCTTGCGGGCGCTGCAGGATTTCAGTCCTTCACGGCGTATTGTGTTACCAATTGTTTTCTTGGTGACTATGGTCCCAGCTGCCTTGAGATCATTGACAAGATCCTCCCGTGTAGTTCAGTGGTCCTCTGTAGCTCAGCTGGTAGAGCACAGCGCTTGTAACGCCAGGGTAGTGGGTTCTATCCCCGGGACCACCCATACACAAAAATGTATGCACGAATGATTAAGTCGCTTTGGATAAAAGCGTCTGCTAAATGGCATATTATTTATTATTATTTCTGGGCTGATTCCTCACCATTCTCATGATCATTGCAACTCCACGAGGTGAGATCTTGCATGGAGCCTCAGGCCGAGGGAGATTGACAGTTATTTTGTGTTTCTTCCATTTGCGAATAAACTGTTGTCACCTTCTCACCAAGCTGCTTGGCGATGGTCTTGTAGCCCATTCCAGCCTTGTGTAGGTCTACAATATTGTCCCTGACATCCTTGGAGAGCTCTTTGGTCTTGGCCATGGTGGAGAGTTTGGAATCTGATTGATTGATTGCTTCTGTGGACAGGTGTCTTTTATACAGGTAACAAGCTGAGATTAGGAGCACTCCCTTTAATTGTGTGCTCCTAATCTCAGCTCGTTACCCGTATAAAAGACACCTGGGAGCCAGAAATCTTTCTGATTGAGAGGGGGTCAAATACTTATTTCCCTCATTAAAATGCGAATCAATTTATAACATTTTTGACATGCGTTTTTCTGGATTTTTTTGTTGTTATTCTGTCTCTGACTGTTCAAATAAACCTACCATTAAAAATATAGACTGATCATTTCTTGTCAGTGGGCAAACGTACAAAATCAGCAGGGGATCAAATACTTTTTTCCCTCACTGTATATATATATACATACATGCATACATACATACATACATACATACATGCATGGTTGAAAAACGAGTTTTAATGACTCCAAACTAAGTGTTGAACTTCCGACTTCAACTATACATACATACAGTTTTTCAACCACTCCACAAATTTCTTGTGTAGGTGTGTCCAAACTTTTGACTAATACTATATATACACATCCTTTTTTTAAAAATATATTTTCCTTTATTACTTTCCAACCCCACCACCCCTCCCCTAATTGGAGTAAACTAGTGAACAACAACGCTTAGGCCTCTACTTCCAGCTTATACATACTATATACATTTTATTGACACAGTACATTTTTACAATAGTTCTATTTTGTTTGTTTTTACTCCTGAACTTCCTCTACCCTCAACCTCTCCAATCATTTTCATGATGTCCATCCGGTTTGCTTCTATATGCCATATCTTTCAAACTGTGCTCTTTCACAAAAGTTCTCAACCTATAACCTATATACCTATTATGGACACATTATTGTTTTACATTAGTTGTCTTGTTGTTATTAGTCCAAACCATCAGCTCCAATCAACCCATCCCATCTATCTCTTAACACCATCCATATTTGATTTCTATATGCCATATATTCTTCAACTGTACTGTGATGTTTCACAAAAGTTCTGAACCCTTCTATTCTCATTGTTTCTACAGATTGTAAATTGAAAATAAACATTTTTGCTAAAAGTATTATTATATTATTGATCGATTGACTATGACTTTTCAGATCACTCAGTAGTGCTATCTGCAGGGTTAGCTCCAGGTAAATATTGCAATCCTTTAGCCATTCCTGGACCTGTGACCAAAAACAAGCTACAAATGGTCAGAACCAAAACAAATGATCTAATGTTTCTGTCTCTTCGCAGCAAAATCTGCAGAGCTGGGAAGATTGTATGAAATGCATTTTTAAAAGGCAAAAAAAATTCTGGACCCTATAGGCTAACAATATTCGCCATGTTTTCAACTTCTGCAACCGCCATTACGCTACTGCTCTATGCCATTACGAAAATGCGATGATATGCAGGCATAACTTTATTATAACGTTACATTTTTTCATGCCTTCCGGTACCTCAGAGCCCCCCAGGTCACCCCCCTCTCGCGCTCACTTTTTGTTCCAGCACCCCCTGATTTACAAATTAAGCACTGGCTAGCTAGCAAACGTAGCTACACACAATAAAACCAAAGTCAATATCAGCATGTGAAGTAGCTAGCTACAGCAGCTGTAAAATAGCCTAAACAAACTGTACTATCAATTTAGGAGTTTATCTCACCCAGTTCAACTTGCAGTTCCACTCTGCCCAGAGCGAGTGCAGAGTATGTTGCTATGGCAACAATGGCCCTTTCCCACACTTCCCACAGACACACAGGGCACATTGTGAGATGGTACTTGAAGGAGAAACTGAGTTGAATAATTTGGTACACTGTTTAGATTGAGCACGTCTAAGTGAAATCTATACTTTGTCATGATGATATAAAACGGATAGATGTGTTCTAGACATCTATTGGCTATTTTGGTGATCTGGAGTGCAGGTAATTGTTTTAAAAGCGTTATGAAATGTGATAGGGGATAACATACTATCTCCAGTGACGAGAACCATGTAGCTATGACGTGTTCCTACAGGATTTCCTGATTTCACAGACGGACCACTTAGAAGTTAAATCATGGGGAAATGTTTTTATTTACCCACTGATAGAACATAGGCTTTAACCAAACTGACAGGAGTTTCATGATTTTTATTTCTGGGGGTGGATTATCCTTTTAAAATTAAAATAAAAGATGTAGAAGGAACTTTTGCGATTTTGGTCTTACAATGCAAATACTCATCAGGTATTTTATAGCAGTTTTAGCTGTTTGTGTCTGTATGCCTCCTTTTGTCTGTCTGCATGTACTTCTCACCTTCTATTTCAATCGGTCCGTCCGTGTGTGTGTGCATGTACGTGTGTCCGTCCTTCCATCCGTGTGTATTTTTCTCTATCTGTGTGTGCCTCAATCAGTATGACCCGGAGCTGTCGTCGAGGCAGTTTGGCGTGGAGCTGTCTCGTCTGACCAGCGAGGAGAGGACAGTGCCCCTGGTGGTGGAGAAGCTCATCAACTACATTGAGATGCACGGCCTCTACACCGAGGGCATCTTCAGGAAGTCTGGCTCCACCAATAAGATCAAGGAGCTCCGGCTGGGGCTGGACACAGGTGTGATTGACAGGGTCCTGCTCCAGTTACCGTAGACTGTAGTGTTATGTTGTAAACAGGGGAGGGACAACAGATCTATGGTCAAGGCACTGTCTATAGGCTTTCTGTTTGGTTCATATAATGACAGGATACAGGGGGCTATGTTAGAAACTGTATGCCCTAGCATGAATATAGGCTGTTGACACAGGCTGTAATAGTAGTGGCAACATTTTTTGAACAAGTTGTCCTGACTCCATGTCCTCGGTATTCACACTACCAGATTGAAAGCACTGTATCCGCAGCAAAGAGTTTAACAGTTGTAATGTTTACGCCAACTATAGTATTTAAGTCGTATTTATATTGAACAAAAATATAAACTCAACATGTGAAGTGTTGGTCCCATGTTTCATGAGCTGAAATAAAAGATCCCAGATATTTTCCATAGGCACAAAAAGCTTATTTCTCTCAAATATTGTACACAAATGTCTTTACATTCCTGTTAGTGCGCATTTCTCCTTTTCCAAGACAATCTATCCACCTGACAGACATGGCATATCAATAAGCTGCTTAAACAGCATGATCATTACACAGGTGTACCTTGTGCTGGGGACAATAAAATGTCTGTCAGGTGGATAGAGTTGAGGGAGTGTCTCAAGTTGAGGGAGTTTCTGACTGTAATAAAGGGCTTTTGTGGGGAACAACTCATTCTGATTGGCTGGACCTGGCTCCCCAGTGGATGGGCCTATGCCCTCCTAGGCACACCCATGGCTGCGCCACTGCCCAGTCATGTGAAATCCATAGATTAGGGCGTAATGAATTTATTTCAATTGACAGATTTCCTACTATGAACTGTAACTCAGTAAAATCTTTGAAATTGTTGCATTTATATTTTTGTTCAGTATAGTTGTAACTCACTCTCTATTTGTCTCCCATTGCCCTCCATCCAGATGTGAGCAGCATGAACTTGGATGACTACAACATCCACGTAATTGCCAGCGTGCTCAAACAGTGGCTCCGCGACCTGCCCAACCCTCTAATGACCTTTGAACTCTACGAGGAGTTCCTCCGAGCCATGGGTAAGAACTGGGGTCGGAAGTAACCACATTGGTATTTGTTACAATGTTATTGTGTAGTAATGGTTAAAGGTGGCCTCTGTACCAATTTATAGATGACTGAAGGTGTAGATATAATATAGTAGATATGATTATGACATAATGGATGAAGGTATGTGCGCATAGAAATAGAAATACTAGAACAGACGGGTTGACCGGCGGCCATATTGACTGCACCCATAGGAGTAAAGCAGGAAGTAAGAGCAGGAAGTAATTGTATTTTTATGGTGTTGCGTCCCCCTTGCAGGCCAGCCAGACAAGCGGGAGGTGATCCGCGGGGTGTACTCTGTGATCGACCAGCTCAGCAGAACCCACCTGAGCACCCTGGAGCGCCTCATCTTCCACCTGGTCAGGTGAGTGGTCACGTGACCCCACAGGAAATAGGATGTGGAGACTCACTGGATGCCTCCCGATTCTCCACTCTTCTTCCAAAGTGTGCTCTTAACTAACAGAAACTCCCTCCAGTCAATTCGCCAAGCCAATGCTTCTAAATCCATTAATGGGTGAGTGGGAGAAGGGTGGATAATTGGGAAGTTGTCATCCACTACAACCCAGTTTTGACATTGAATAAACTTTTTTCTGTACTTTCTTGGGACCTCCTCTGATATATGCGTGTGTGATCTTCCAGGATCACTCTGCAAGAGGACACCAACCGTATGTCGGCCAACGCCCTGGCCATAGTTTTTGCCCCCTGCATACTCCGCTGCCCCGACACCATCGACCCCCTGCAGAGTGTCCAGGACATCGGGAAGACTACTGCGTAAGACTCAGTCATTATTTGCTTCTCAGGCTTGCCAGTCCTGGTTCTGGAAGGCTGTGTGTACAGTACGGCACTCTAGGACCAGAATCAACACACACACACACCACAAAAACCCATCATCGCTCGATAGTTGTGAGTGTGTATACAATGGAATTGACAACTGACACACCTCAATAGCTATAATTCATCAGATGAATGGCATATTATATTAAAATGAGTCAATGTGTTATTTCTATCGTGAATCCTGTTCCTATCAGACAGAATCAATTATAAAGCATAGACTGAGCAACAGTCCCCTTATTCACTGGTTGCTCATTCTGCCTGTCCTCCTTTAGGTGTGTGGAGCTGATCATCGGAGAGCAGATGAATAAGTACAGGGCCAGACTGAAGGACATCAACAGTCTGGAGTTTGCTGAGAACAAGGCCAAGAGCAGACTGACACACATCAGGAGGTCCATGGTAAGGCACCAGGACACCAGGGGTCGTGTTCATTAGGCATCAAATAATTGGAGGGACTACCTGGACTTGTCCAATAAGAAACGCTCATTTTCATTTCCGTTGCAAAACATTAATCTTTAGCCCTTAGTTCCTCTCACCGGATGCAACGTTCTCCAACATTATATAATATATATAATATGCCATTTAGCAGACGCTTTTATCCAAAGCGACTTACAGTCATGCGTGCATACATTTTTGTGTACGGGTGGTCCCGGGGATCGAACCCACTACCTTGGCGTTACAAGCGCCGTGCTCTACCAGCTGAGCTACAGAGGACCACATTCTCAATCTCCATGCCCATTTTAGCCATGATTTCGGCAATGACTTCATGGGTCATGATTTCAGTTAATCTCCAAAAGTATTTCACTTTACCACCATATGAAAGTTAATTTGAGTGCAATTGGTTCTAATAAAAAATTGGCCTACCCTCCATTTCCTTCTAATACCACCATGTAGTTTTTAAGCTTCAGCCCTAACCCTGTTCTCTCCTTTCCCCCTCACCTCACCCCACCCCAGAAACCTGTACTAATCGCTGTTAGGTTTATTGGCATAACCCGCACAGCCACCCCGGTATGTATTCCTAGTATATACTCACACCCAGTCCTGTCAGACCATTTGTCTGTGGTGCTGTCAATCAACCAGTCGTGTCAGCCCATTTGTCTGTGGCGCTGTCAGTCAGCACGTCGGCACCACCGTCATGCTGTCCGTCAAGTCCACATTGCTATCTCTTCCCTCCCTCTTTCTCTCTTCCCTTCTCTTCATTCTCCATTTCTCTATACACTGAGTGTTCAAAACATTAGGAACACCTTCCTAATATTGAGTTGCACCCCTTTTGGCCTCAGAACAGCCTCAATTCATCAGGGCATGGAAAGCGTTCCACAGGGGTGCTGGCCCATGTTGACTCCAATCCGTCCCACAGTTGTCAAGTTGGCTGGATCTCCTTTGGGTGGTGGACCATTCTTGATACACATGGGAAACTGTTGAGCATGAAAAACCCTACTACCATACCCCGTTCAAAGGCACTTAAATATTTTGTTTTGCCAGTTCACCCTCTGAATGGCACACATACACAATCCATGTCTCAATTGTCTCAAGGCTTAAAAAAACCTTCTTTAACCTGTCTCCTCCCCTTCATCTACACTGATTTAAGTGGATTTAACAAGTGACATCAATAAGAGATCATAGCTTTCACCTAGTCAGTCTATGTAATGGAAAGAGCAGGTGTTCCTAATGTCCATTGATTTGTCATACATTTGTAATAAATATCAACCTTTTATTATTTCTTAATTGAAACAGTTTTATGATTAATTCATGACTATCAATGGTCATTACTCGGTCATGTGAGAGAAATGAGAGCAGTGGTTCCTCCATTGTATAGATAGGGCAGTGCTTAGATTATGTTACACAATGGGTAGATTTAATCCTGAATGCTGATTGGTTAAAACCGCATTCCAGCCGGTGTCTATTCCACAAATTACCACTGGCTAAATCTATGACATTAAAAATGCCTATTTACTCTGTTCCATCTGACTGCGCAATCCACTGTCTCATCAGCCCAGCCAGACAATTTATAAACTTCATCTCCATTATAAATAGCATCTAGACATTATCTCACATTTGTTTTAGACTAACATTTAGTTTTTAACAGCTGAGATTTGTATAAACCTTGCTGTCGGTCTCCAACATTTGCAACATTGTTTCAATATTCAAATTAGATCTCCAGCTGTCCCATAATAGAGTCGGGACGAGATAGATAGGCAGCGTTTCTCAACCAGTCGAAATCATGAATTAGCTGGCATCATATTTATGGATATATACAAAGAAATGTCAGTTGAAAAAAGGTCAAACGAAGTGCAGCTAGTTTGCAGTCTTTCCAGCTGTTCAGTTTGAAGTGATTGTGTTAGTTGTGTTGTTGGCTAGCTCTTCTGAACAACAGTGTCCTGACGAGTGAGCACATTTTCTATGCCAGGCAAAATCGCGCCTCATTAGCTCATTGTTATGGATGTGTCCAAATAAATGTCAACAGAAAACAGCTTAAACAAATGCAAATACAACTACTGTTGTTATTCTGGCTGCACTGTTTGACGTGACTGTAAATTAGCCGTAGTTGGCTAGCTAGCAAGGGATAAGAACGTTGCCAGTCAGTATGGCAATGGAACATTTAAGAATGAACGACTGGGTCGCGTCCATAGATACAGAACAAAAATACTGAACGGCTGGGTCGCGTCTCTGGCAACCGAACCTATATAACGAACCTATATAAACAAATGTTTACATTCTTTTTTTGTTGCTTCGCACACCTGTGTATGCTTGCGTGCGTGTCTGTATGTGTGTCCGCTACAGTTTGTGTGTTTTTATAACACTCATTAAGTAGTTTTATCATAACAACTTGATGAACATAGTCTAGAAAATACGCACATCTAGTTGCTTTGTGCAGGTGTGAGAAATCAACGTTTAAAAGACCATCATCAACCATATCCCTCGTTGTGGGTTTTCTATCCAGCCATCTTGAACACTCATCTCTCAGGCTATCTTCACTGTGTATGTGTCGTTAGTAGACCCAATCTTCATGACACTGAGTCAGATGTGAACCATTCCATCAGCCTCTATCCTAATTATCTATTAGCCTACTGTCGCCTAGCCTAATAGCCTATCTCATATCCTTACTAGCCCTCTGCTCTGTGTCGTTTGTCATATAGGGCAAATGTTGTCTTCAGAGGGGTAGCAGCCACAACACGCCCTCCCCGCCCCTCAGCCCCAGAGCGCCCCTGGTGGTGGACAGGGACAGTGCTGGAGAGGAGGGGGCAGAGCCAGGGCTGACGGAACAGCAGCAGGCCGCCATGCAACAGGAGGAGAGGGTCCTCACCGAGCAAATCGAGAGCCTGCAGAGAGAGAAGTAAGCCTGTCACGGCCTCCTTATGATCTCTTATCAATGGTGTTCACAAGTCACCATACTCCACTATAACTCTAGTACTCTAGGGGGCTTTCTCAAAAAACGGTACCTGCCCTTGGACATTCTCCTCCAATGTGTTTTGAGAATGAGGCGAGGAGAGAGGACATAATGAGAAAGAGACGAGTTATATGAACAACTTTGTTGATAACAAGAGAAGGAGCCTAGTGGTACTCAATTAGTTATTCTGTAGACGGTGTAATGTATGCCATTTTAGCAGACGCTTTTATCCAAAGCAACTTAGTGATGCGTGCATACATTTTACGTACGGGTGGTTCTGGGAATCGAACCCACTGTCCTGGCGTTGCAAGCACCATGCTCTACCAACTGAGCTACACAGGACCACATGTTGACAGGGTTTTGATGGGATGTGTAACTGTTGATTTTGTGTGTGTGTAGGGAGGAGTTGACGTACGAGATGTTGATGTTAGAGCCACGGGCGTCTGATGATGAGACTCTGGAGTCTGAGGCCTCGATAGGAACAGCAGACAGCTCTGAAAACCTCAACATGGACCATGAGGGAGCCGCCTCCAACCCCTCTGGTGAGACTGGAGAGTGTGTGTGTGTTCTACATGTGGTCGGTGTCTGTCGGTGTCTACATCTGTGTGTAGTAAACACTTCTCTCTAACCAAGTCTTTCTCTCAACAGGTACCTACCGCTCCCGGAAGTCTGAAGCCAAGAGCCGCCGCGGCCTCCGGAGACAACCCGACTCTGTGGACTCAGTCGACTCCATCTTGTCCACCGCCTCTTCCTCCCTCTCCTCATCCTCCTCCTACCATCCCTCCTCCTCTATTATCCCTCCTTCCCCCAACTACCGCTTCCGCTCCTCCTCATCCGGACCCCTGCTCGCCTCCTGCTCATTGGGCCTAGGGGTCCCCGTAGTGGAGTCTGAGGGGGACCCGAGGGGCACTGTGGGGGTGAAGAGCCGCCACCGCCTTCGGCTGAGTAGGAGCTCGCCGCGCGAAGCCCCCGAGGGCCACAGGAGGGAGTCTGACTTCAGCTCGCCGCCCCAACAGCTGGTTCTGTATGGCAGTAACGAGTTTATGGTGTGAGGGAGAGTGGCGGAGAGACGAGACATCCGAACCGCCTTCCGTCCCCTATGCCTATAGAATGTGTATGAGGGAGGGAGGAAGGGAGTGAAACAGGGCTGGAATGGGCCATGTGGGCATCCGTCTCTCACTTCTGTCCTCCCCTAGCTGTGCTCACCTCTCTCCTTCTTCCCTGTGCCAGTCTTGCCTTGGAGGACGGCCGCCGTCCCACGATGCAGTTGGGCGCCATCCGCTTGGTGGGAGTGGGCTGAGAGTGAAGTGAAAGGCGATGACTGGAGAGGGAGAAAGAGAGATGGAATGAATGAATGAAAGAAATAGGAAGCCTCGGGAACTAAGATGGAGGAGTGGCAGGAGGCTGTAGATGAATAAAAGGGGGAAAGAGAGAGTGAGGAAAAGGATGAGGTTGGCTGTCTTGACTCACCTGTCTTTTTTAACTTTGACCTCCAAACCCCTTGACCCCTGCTGGAGCCTCAGGGGCACAGGGGGGCTGGAGAGATGAAAAGAGAGAAGCCAGTGGACAGCGCCATCTTTTGAGTGGAGGACTAAAGTGGATTGAGCCACTCAATAGCAGAGTAACTGACTGAGAGCACTGTCAACCATTTTGATAAGAAGCACTCAGCTACTCTCGCATCTGCTTTCAAGTTTACATGATACAGCCCGTCCACGAGGCTGCATGCTCCTTCATTACACTTGTTTCCTATGCCTGTTCAAGAGACTACTGTGATGATGTTATAAACATGTGTAATATGAATTATTATTATTATTATTATTATGTTATTAAAAATATGTAAATAGAAGGAACTCCAGTGGTACTGGGTCATCCAGTGTTTATAATAACAGTCTCTTGTCAGGAGTCTTTTGTGAAGTGTATGGGATTCAGGTTATGTTTTTTTGTGTCATTTTGTTATTTGATTTGTTGATTTTAATGGGGTCGGTGCTATCGGGGATCTTTGGGACGTCCCTACCCTAAACCCTTATCCTAACCCTAACTATAACCATAACCCTTACCTAACCCTAAACTTAACAATTTTTCATTTAAACTTCAATGGGGTAGGGACTTCCCAAGGATTCCAGGTAGCACATACCATTTTAACAGAGCCACTTGATGTGTTCAGTTGCTGCCACTTCTTCTCATGTGAAATAATACATGTCGTGCAACAAGAGATTGACATCCGTCCATTCAGACACTTACGATCATCACAGCACTGTTGCCATAGTTGTTGATGCTGCGACTACGGTGTTCAATGTTTATCAGTCATAATGTATTGTAATACCTTTCCCCTCCATCCATTGTTTGTCTGTGTTCCCCCACAATCCTATGTTGAATCTTCATTTGTTCTGAAACATCAGTGTAAAGAGTAACCAAATCAGGACTTGAATATTTTTTGTCTTTTTATTGGTGTATTATTGTTGTTGTTATAGTTGCAGTTGATGCTATTGTCATCTTTTTGGTGTAATATCATTACTTGCGTGGCAATGGTGATTTTGTTAAGATGAAATACATTTGTATCACCCATCTGTACCAAGAGGAGTGTGTGTGTGTGTGTGTGTGTGTGTGTGTGTGTGTGTGTGTGTGTGTGTGTGGTTGGTTATCACTACTGCTCTGTCCATTTGATGTCAACACAGTCCAACCTTTATGACAGACACACACACACACACACACACAGTCCTCTGCTATGTATGTCCCATACAACCTTTGAGCCAGCCAAATCCTTCACCTCTGATTTTTACATTGGTTCAAATATGAATGAACCTTTCCATCCACTTCACTACTGGGCTTGCCTGAACAGTAGCATTTACTCTATGCTAAAGGTGTATTTAAACACCTCACAGAGAAAAGGCAATCAGTTTCAACCGTCCAGTGTATTTAAACAGAAGATAACAGCTCTGGTACTCTAAGATAAATACTTCTATACTCTGTCTCTGTCACTCTCTATACTGTGCAATATCCTATGTGTGTCCTGTATGGGGGCCTTTTAACTATCTCTTCTCACCAGTGCTTAACCTGGGGTTGAATCAGTATTATATTGTCTTGCCGTTACTGTACTGTACTTTCCATCCGATGCTTTACAACAAGCACACATCTGAAACAACACAATCGCAGTCTTGTCATAGGGAAGGTGTAGGACTTGATCGCAGAATAGTCATCGTAATGAATAGGGAACTTCATGTAGCCTATGTGTTTGTCACAAGCTTGCCTCTTCTTCAGTGTGCATTGTTCCATCCAGATTCTCCACTGTGTCCGAAACAGGTAGAGACTTCACTTGCTGCTTGTTGTCTACTATTAGGGTGAAGCGGCTGAACCATGGTGGGGTTTTAGGGAGCAGGCACCTCGACCAGTCACAACCAAACCTGGGTTGTAATCATTAAGCACCGAATGGAAGAAAACTGACTGAAACAGGAAGGGACTACCCGAACTGACTACCAATAAGAACCGCTTGTTTTCGTTTTACTTAGCAAAGCTTTTTGCTATGGTGTGCCCTAATGAATACGACCCTGGTTATCAGAAAGAGCACTCAGAAGTTCAGTTTGAGAGGGGAGCACTGGGGGTTGTTGAGGGGCGTGGGAGAAAATAATATCCGTTCATACTGGTCAAAAACCCACAATCTAATCACGGTATTTGTACACCCTAAGGCTGGCATTGGCTATGGCGTCCTGCTAAAGTGAATGTACCTATCACTGGAAGGCAATGCTCTGCTTTCTCTTGTTGTTTTGTTGTTATTTTTATATACAGTATGTATATTGTATTTATGATCATGCTTATGAGTGTACATTGAAAAAAAAAAGCCTGTTATAAAAAGGATATATTATCCTGTGTATGACTCCTTATATAATATTAATCATGTTTAATGTTTTTTACAGGCTCAAAAAAAGTCTGTCATGTTTGTGCTACAGCAAAAATCCAATTTAAGCAATTGTATCTCCTTTTTGTGTGCGCTAATCTGGACACAGTTGTATGTATAAGGTGCAATTTGTGTAATATTTCTTTTTTTTAAATTATACAAATATATGTCTATGGTAAAAAAGAAAAAAAAATATGGGAAAAAAATAATGTGCTTATTAAAAAAGTTAAACTGGAGCAAAACTGGTGTGAATTGTGTGATTAAATTATGTTGTCCTACAAAATGAGTAAGTCACATTTTCCAAGTAAGTCAATTATTAAAATTGCAGTAGTTTATGAGTCACAATAAAAGGATACTTAATTGGACGGTTCATAGCAAACGGCATGATTTGAGAGACTACCGTAAAACGAGTATAATTAATAGCCTGGGCGTTTATTTGCTTCAATCATTGAACACAACTGGCGCTTATTAGAGACAGGCTTATATTTGAGCCAGGTGTCTATTTCCTTAATGCACACAGCTTTTGCTCAATAGAATGTTGACCGCTCGCATCCATTGACCCCTCCCCCACCCTTAAAGCACCAGTTAGATGTCATCACTGAGCAAAACTCCTGTCACTGAAGCTGAACTTTACTACAACTAGATATTTAACCGTGTTTAAACTGGGCCATGTTGAGGTGGTAGAACTGACTAAATGAATCATACAGGTCTTATAACCTATTCCATTCTACAGGTAAACATGCTTGGCTCATGTCTGTTATTTCCATATAGGCTATGTAAATATTTGTTTTTTAACCTGCCCATTTATTAAATTGCTGAAATTATTTGAATGAATATTACTCTTTTTATTCACTTAGCTACTTCCTTTTTCTATTGTTGCATTGTCAAGAGGTTATTAACCTGCAAGTAAGCATTTCATTGCACTTTGTACTCCATGTGTGTATGACAATTAAACAAACTAGAACTTAGAAGGGAAGGTGGAGGGCAGCAAGAAAGAGAGGGGAAAAGATGGCCATCTTTGTGGTTAGATTATAGGTGAACAAAACATTGAAAATACATATGCATATGCCCTTAAGTTATGTGTCCTCAAATGTTACGGAATGTAAAAATCTCACATTAGCTGGTAGAACTGATGAAATTAATCATAGAGGTTGTCGTGACGTGACTTACTTTAATGTATGACTGTTATTTATCCAATCACCTAACTATGTTTAATTGTCACTCGATTAAATTAATCATGTATAAATTAACTCATTAGGAATTTGGGGCACCGCGGAAGAAGTTGTTTAACGGGTTACCATCTCCCGAATTAAACTCTTAGAAGATATACATGTTATATATCGATAAAAGTCACTTATTAAATAATTTCCTCTAATCATTCTCATTCTGAACGTCGCATAATCCTTCAACCTGCAAGAACCCTAACCTTATTGATGAAACAGCAATACACAAATTGGCTTACTTATTTATTTACTAACTAACTAAATAATAACACATTACAAACACACATTGATTACTGACGTAATACAATGAAAACAGGTCCCTAGTGGACTGGACTAACATTAGCATGAATGTTTGGGTAGTGGAGGGGTCAGAATGGAAGGGAGAGACAGAGATTTAAACTATCGTAGTTACTTTAGAAACTACGCTCGCAGTAATCATAATACTTATGCACCCTAATAATCGCTCATTCGGATTAGAAATGCAACATGTATTTACGTGTTGCTGTCCTCGATAGTTTAGTTGATGATGTAGGACTCTGGTTTGCCCACCAGAGATCTCAATATCCTTGGTAGAGTTTCTGGTCGTAGTGGTGGTTAGAATGGATACTTCAGATATACCAGAGGTTGTCTGAGAGGGATTGTCCTTTCCAACTCGTGTCTTTAGTGAAAGTTCTCTAGACGACTATACATGCCAGCTGCAGACTGAAATGATAAGGTCTAGTGCATTGTCTTCTCCTTCACCTCGTGTAGAGGTTGAGAGTTCCAGAGTTTCTCAATTTCAAACGTGTGGACTAACGTCTCATGCTTTCTGGTCTTTCTGAAATTCAACCATTTGCAACGTTTAGCTCACGCTTCACATCTGCTGGTCTAAAGAGTTTCAACCATTTTAAGCCGTGGGGCTTGCTGGTCTGGTAGAAATTCAACCATTTGCAATGTTTGGCTCACGCTTCACATCTGCTGGTCTGTTGTTCAAGGCTTTTTATGCACTCCATCATGTTTGTGCTCATCTGGGCGTGGCCACTGACTGAGAACAAATCAATATGGGAAACAATCATATAATCTAGAACGCTAAAATCACATTATTATTATTTTTATTATAATACTTAATCATTCGTTTTATACAACAATTAGATGCAAACCTCATAACTGGGAAGTGTACCCCCCCCCAGAGATACAGTTATGTTGTTCCACCGTCTTTAATGACATCACAACATAGTAACGAATTTGACATGATTGTTTTTTAAGTCCCCACCAACCATTTCCCACATACTTTTAAGTAGGAATATTGTTTCATTATCCACTTTTGGATGTTGGAGTTTTAGAGGAAGACTTCCTTTGTTAACAACGGGGTCCTTTCTCCCAATACTTCATGGCAAGGAAGAGAAAGTCTGCATGGTATTTACGACCGGTCATAAAACTGGGCCCCAGGAAAGGGGGTGTTCAAACCTTTGTCTAGCCGGCATGTTTGATCCTCAACCCATGAGGGCAAGTCATGACAAGGTCTTATAACTTATTCCATTCTACAGGTATTTGTTTGGGATCATGTCTATTAATATAGCCTAGGGTCTATGTAGCTTCTTATCTGTCATGTTTAGAGTTGTTGCTCTGTTATGCGGACTCTTGAATTTTTCTTTACAGTTGAGTTGCCCTAGTCGTGTTAGTATACTGTAACTTCAAA